GAATACATTTTAATGAAACCTCCAATTTCATCTCATAGGTGGTTCTTGGATATATGATCTCCTGTGAATAAAACAAAGCAGCCAACCTTATTGCCTTCCTTGATTGAATGAATTATTTGAAATCACTGATTGCTCTTAACTTTCTGAATCTACATGAACAAATTACCAAAACCAATGCAATGCTGTCAGTATCCTCTGACCATTCCTATCACAGTTATAATCTCAATCCTTTAGAAACAATCAGGAAAACGTTTTCCAATACACATATAAGTTAATATCCCCAAACAATTATTTCACTTATCAGAAGAAAAGGGCATTTCTATTATCGTTTGCTTTTGTTTTGTGAACACGAATAGCCTGTTTACTGGATACCATAACCTGTCTTGCCTATTTAAATCTAAGGCCTAGACTTTGACTAAGCCACTCTTTTTTCTGAGTCATTGAGAGGTGGGCTTTCCTATGTCCTTCTGATTATTGGAATAATTGTTGTATGTCGGCCACTCCTGGGATGGTCTACCACATTTCCATGTTTTCTTCTTTTGTTGATATCAACTCACTACTTTCTTAGAGTTTCAAGGCCTAAGAAATAATATAATACAATTTTCTTGACTGACAGATGTCAATAACTTTGCTACTCATCTGTTTCTGAATTTCTTCAATTTGGGGCTTAACGCTGCGTTTTTTTAGATTCATTAGCCTACTTTATATTGTCACACAATTTCTATTTAAATAATTGTTGATTCTAAATGCCTGGCAGTAATAAGGCCAGGATCTGGGTGGTTAAATTTTTTTTTTCATCCATTATCATTCATATCAAACTGGGTTGACTGGGTTGAACCATGTTAATCTTTATTTTGTGCTGCTTTTTTTCCACTCTTGGATCATTTTCTCATTTTATATGCATAACCCTGAACTTTTTAAAAGTAGACTGTCTTAATTTTTTTTCTAAATGAACTTGACATTCACCATCATCCAATTAATTTGTAAAGTATTTCCATAAATCTATTTTGAACCAACAAGAAAATTGAAATGAACTTCAGTTGATCATTTTTGGTCAAATACTTTTGCTGCCATCTAGTGTTAGTGTCTCACAGACACACTTCGACAATACACACCGATTGTATCCAGGGTCCCAAGTGTGGGGAACACTCATAGAAGCAAGTGTCCTGGATGAAATGTCTCTTGCACTTGCTGCTCATCGCACCGCAGTGGTTCCAGTTGAAATTATACAGGTAAGAGTTGTCATTGTGGGCCTCTTCGCTGGTGTTAGCAGTGCAACATGCATTCTCACGCCAGGGATCACACTGCAAAGAGAATGTTACATCATGACTTGTAGTTACTGATTCTTTGCTGTTCAACGTCAATAACACCCTGCATGTGTTTCCTACCTGACGATACAGCGCTCCCTCAGGGCCAGGCTCCACTTTGTGATGTTTGGCGTTCATGCACATGTTGAGTTGGTCCAGACACAGAGCGCCACTGGAAAGGGTGAGCAGACAGCCCAGGAACAACAGCATGGCTGGAGAGAAAAACAACCTGTGGAGGTTTGTTATCACGTGGATCAGAAAACCCAAAAAACAACAGCCATTCGCTGATAGTACTTTTCAAAATTCCAACTTAATCTGAAGGTATGTCTACTGTTGAAATACGAATTTTAAAGTAGCACAATAGTACGTAAGTTAACTTTTAGGTTAAGATAAACTTAGATACAGATCCAAACTGGGACAGCTGGTGACTCTCAGAACTTACAGAAATTCCTAATCAGAAAACAGTCTTAGACTCCTTGAATCTCTTTACATAGGGAGCCTGTCTGCCAGGCAATTAACAAATTCCTGAGCATGGTTCAAAAGTTCACTAGAATCTTAAAACTTTTTATAAATAATTTTATCTATATTAGAATTAACTATATTTCTTTAAGTATGTTTTTGATTAGTTACTTATTAGATCCAAACTTATAGTCATTATTTAGCATTACATTTTGTGCAAGCTTGGTTAAAAATACAAACTACTTTCTTGTGGAATCATTTTGAGGCAGAGATAGCGCTGCAGCTGCACTTATATATCAAACTGGACAGCGGCTGGTACGAGAAGGGTTTGCCATATATCTGCTTTTGGGGCTCTTTAGCAGGAGGTAATAAAATTAACATTAAGACAGCCCACCTCCTAATGCATATATTTAAATGAGGAGAATACGCAGTCTATAAAAAATGGTTTGTTTCACAGCAGAAGTTGGAATCTCTTTGTGCTGAGTGAGAGTTTCCCAGAGGATGCATCTTCTGTTATTCTTTTGTCTTTTTTTACTCAGTTCTTTGTCTCTGTTTTGTAATGTCTTGGACTTTTGCTCTAGGTGAGATGCTTATTGTAAAGTTCTTCTTGGATTGAATTTCTCTGGATAAAACTCTGAATATCTGAAGTCTGACGTCGTATGATTGCTCTTTTCTCTCTGCACACTTTCACAGACACAGGAATTCGGGACTAAGAATTAATTAACGAGCTAAATCAAGTTATTCCTCTTTTTAATTCTTAACACTACCCAGTTTTAAATCATCAAAAGAAAGAATTGAAATTTGAATCCATTATTAACTTCAAGAGAACTTAGTTCCTCTTTGATTCCCTCCTTTTTTATTTAGTAATGTTAAGATTATGTAAATTATTTAGATTGCCTTCATTTGTCTCTTTTAGTCATTGCATTCATATTTTACTTTCAATCAAAATCTTCCACCTGCACACCTGTAACTGAGTCCTGTCAAGGGTCTGCCCTTACTACTGCTATACAGAGGTAGCTATCTCTTTCTTTCTAGAGTGTAAGACCTTGCTGTTTAAATATTCTCACTGCTGGAACAAGTGGCTCTGTCATTGCTCAAGGCCACATCATTACATCTTTGGCAATAAAGTAAAAAAATATTAGACTACAAGTTAAAGCTTTATTAGAAGTACAGTTGTGACTAAATATTAAAAACCAATAAGGGAATCACCTACTGAGTTGAATTCAGACTGCTATGCACAATAGCAGGCAGAGATTTGTAAGTTTTTGATCACTATCAAACTAATAGAAATACATTATCTTCTATGTAATGTAACTGAGTTGTTTCAAGCCTCTGAACCTGCCACTGATACTAAGTACAAAAGTGTCTATCTGTTTCTTTCTAGAGTGCAAGACGTTGCTGTTTATTACTATTCCATAATTATGAAGTTGAAGGGAAATTATAAATGGTTTTTAAACATTTTTTTACAAAGCGTGATATTAATGTGCATTCATACTAATGCCAAAACTTTGTAGAATCACCTTTTACAAACGTACTGTGGGTGATATTTCTAGCAATAAAAAACAATCAGGACATAAAAAATGTTGTTATGCTGAATTAGCCCCTATTTATCGAGAAATAGGATATTTGCTACATATGGAGACCACACACACAGTTCAGTCTTTTCTCTGTACACAAAGTCAAAACTTTTACCATAGACTAAACATATCACAGTTTCTTTCATAGCGTCAAAAAGTCTTGCGTTTAGACTTGGAGTCAAAAGAAATAAAGAATAAATCCCTTTTACCTTTTCAGATTCTGTCTTGACGAAATTATCAAGTAAATCTTTATCCCCAGTCAACCTTGAGCACACTTCTCAAGACAAAACAGGAAATTCAAAGCGCACACATTGAACACTCCTCTTACAAGCTTCCCGAGGGGAGTGTGGATGAAGACAAATCCCTTCATGACTGTGAAGTAATTTATTTCCAAAGTTCAAAGTCTAGGTCACAGTTGTTGGAAATTGCAAGAACAGACAAAAAAAGTGCAAATTCCTTCACTGAAGTGTGTGATAATCTGGGTTTTTATTACATGTGGTAGTTTTGTCAACCTCAAGGTTGTTCATCTTCCCCCTCCTACCGCCATGTGATTGAAAAATTTACAGAAAATAACATTGTGAGTCATTAGAAGAAAAAATATGTATTGCAGATATCTTTGTGCTACCCAATTACAGTAATTTCTTCTGAAAGTTCATGAGCTTCTGTTTGCTGTCAGCCATCAACACCAAACTAGACTGAACCAAAACTCTGTGGATTGTTTTGTATTTGGGCGTGGATATTTGAAATTTTGATTGTTGAACTGTTCTTTTCTTTCTTTTTCTGGTTGATAACAGATGAGTACATATGAAGTCTGAATTTATGATTATGTTCAAATAATGAAAGAAGAAAAAAGTTTGTTAATGTCCCCAGCAGGCATGTGCAGGGGGTGCAGGTAGATTCCAGAGATGCGCATCGCAGCGGCTCTTCATGCTGGGCAGGACCAAAGTAATACAGGGCCTTAGACAGAATACCACCACACCCAGAAACTCTTCCTACGAAGAACCTCAGCATCACTAACATGTTTAAATATAGATAAGGTGACGTCTGTGAGAGAGAGACCAGGTTTATTGGCCACGTTTAAAATCAATCACTGATTATTGGTTATTTGCTGTGATGAATTTGTGAACAAACCCAATTCAAACACAAAGATTAACATATTGTAATATGCCATATTGTAGCCACAACAGTCAAACTACCAAGATGACTCTTTAAACTTATGTCTGAATGGACTCTACCAGCAGCTCATGAGTTTTCTTTGCTTTGACATCCCAGTCTTTGCAATGATGGCAGTGACATAGTAGGATCTAATTAGATTCTTGATTAATATGGGTTGTTGCTATGTTGTTGTGCGGTTTTTAAGATCTTGTTCAATGTGCCCCTTTTTTAACTTTGAGCCCCTGCCCCTCCAAAGGTCTCTGCACGGCCCTGGTTCCCAGTTTTCTTATATTTCCATTTCAAGCTACCAAAACATGCACAGTACTACATTCACGTTTTCTTAGGGTCATTGAGTCAAAGATATCATCCATTTTTTGAAGAACAATGTAAAATTCGTCTAAATCGATTTAAACTAACTGTAGCATATTGCTATTTTCGGCATGTATGCTTCAACTAATCATTGTTTCCGAAAGCGGAACCCTTGTGAGGGGAGAGTTTATAGATGAACACCACGTGTTTCCGGTTTTCGTTGTTTTGAATTATTTCAAAGCAGCAACGAGATACTGACAGGTACAGAGTTTGATGTCCTTGAAAATGTTATCCTTTATGGTTTTTGAATGTATTTTAATAACTCTTTAAAGCTTTTATTTAAAACAGAATAATATATTCTCGAACTTAAGGAGTTTCAGGCTGAGCTCTGGGTTTAAAGCTCGAGCTCAGAGCCACTTCGACTTATTTTTGGACTCATTCTCTTGACAGAACATTATGTCGACCCTGTTTCCGTCCCTGCTCCCGCGGGTCACCGAGTCTCTGTGGTTCAACCTGGACAGACCTTGTGTGGACGAGACGGAGCTGCAGCAGCAGGAGCAGCAACATCAGACTTGGGTATCCCGTCACACTCTGCTGCTCCGTGTCTCCCCTGCTCCCCATCCCCGTGTTTTTAAACCTGTCATCTCTGGTCACTTCAGCTGCAGAGCATCGCGGAGAAGGACAACAACCTGATGCCCATCGGGAAACCTGTTTTTGAGGTAACAGCAGGCTGAGAAGAAAACTTTTGGCGTGCAGGTTTCCTCGATTGGATAAAATAGTCTCATTTTAAAAAACATCATGTTACAACCACAACTTCGATGTGTTTTTATTGGGATTTTCTGTGGCAGACCGAGATCAGGTTGTAATTACCTGTAACTGTTAAGTGGAAGGAAATTATGAAGCCCCTAAATAGAATCCGGTGCAACCATTTAACTTTTAAAGCCACTTATTAGTAAATAGATTCCACATCTGTGTATTTTACTCTTGGTATAAATATAGTTGACCTGTGGCAGCCCAAGAGGTTTGTTTGAGAACTGAAATGAAGGAATGATACCAATTTTAAAAACTGCTCTTTTTTTCATATATATTTTATGGCACTAATGGCTTTCATTATTAGTAGCTTGGCAGGAATTGGGTGGATTCACACAAAATAGATCGGGAATAGACCCCAGCACACCTGTACAGAGGACCATTGTTCCTATACATGAGCCAAGTTCTTTTCCACCGAGCCATGCAATGCTAAAAATGTGGCAGAGGAAACTTGGTCCTTAAATGTGCAGCCAGAGCTACAAAGCCATTAATTAGATTAAGCATGTCCACATGTTAGTGCAGACCAGAATCAAATTGAGATCATATGGGAAGATTTTAAATAAAAGTTTACACAAAAGTTGGTTGTCTTTGTTGCAGTAGCTCACAGTGGCTCTTCCTTGGGACTGTCTGAACTTGAGCTGTTTTCTGCAGAGAAGAAGGAGCAACAAATTCATTCTGTAGATGCTCACAGATGCTAGATATGCACCCCAAAAGGCTTGAAGTTGTGATTTGGGTGAAGGATGGCTCAAATCAGAGGGGCTCCATGCACATGCATGCAACACTTTTCAGATCTCTTGGTGTTAGATATTTTTGAAAACTGTCCAAGAAGCAACATAAATTGTTAAGTTCATTGTAGTTTTTCTTTGCTGAATGCAGGCAGGTTATGAGGAGGAGGAGGAAGAGGATGACGAGGATGAGGAAGACAGTGAGGAGGACTCGGAAGATGAAGAAGACATGCAGGACATGGATGAGATGAATGACTACAACGAGTCGCCTGATGACGGCGAGATCAATGAGGTACCTTCATTGAACCTTTTGATGTAGCTATCGGCAGCACTTGTTCTGATCAAACCCAAAATAGATAAATCTGCCTTTGTTTCCCTGAATCAGGTGGACATGGAAGGAGCGGACCAAGACCAGGACCAGTGGATGATTTAAAGCTATTTTTTTGTCGCAATCGGCGTCTGGATTTACACTTGCTATCAAAAATGTGACTGATGCCTAACCACTCTGTGACTCAGATATGTTTTAATATTTGTGTACCTGGGATGAAAATGTAATTGAAATGCATTAGATTTTCAATTGGAAAATCTAATGTGTTCCCCTCCTCTTTCAGAGGAGAGTTCAGGTGAATATTACTCTGTGATCCATCAGTCTTTAAAGCTGCAGACATGGTTGGACATTGCTGTGAAGTTTGCTGCCTGGAACACACTTAGAGATGGGAGATTTGTGTATAAACACTGCCATTGGTCCGCATTTCTTGTTTTCAACTGCAGGCTTATTTAACCAATACATCCGGTTAAAGCTGCTCCAAACCTGCCAGGGGCCCAGACATAGGCCCAGGGGCTGTTTTGTACACTCAACCCAGCAATCTGCCATTTAAACTTTGACCTGGCCATATCTTAAGTCATGTGCTATGGAGATGTGCTGACTTGCTGATTAAGGGAATATTGCTTTGGTCAGCAAAATAATTTGTTACCTGTTAAAACAGCCCATCTTAAAAAACAAAAAAGAAAAAGTCCACTTCATTTTGATTGCAGTGCTACTGAATTGTGGATATAAACTTTCCTTCAGTAGATTTTTTTTTTAAAGACATTGTAAAATAATAATGTGTTCAGACAGTTAAAAGGCCTCTGCTTGTCAGCTCTCTTATCTTTATGGTTTGCAGCTGGGTACAAATGCTCTGATTAAAGTTATAAGTCTGAGTTACAAGTCATCACAAAGATTCAGTTTTTGAGAGATTATTTTTGTTCTATTTGTATTTTTGATTTTGTTTGCTATAAATTAAACAGCTACATATTTTATTTGTGCTTTCTTGTTGTTTATTGTTTAATATTGGGTCAGGATAATGTAAATCCTGTTTAAGGGCTGGAATAATGGAATTGTACTTCTCTGGTGAGAGTCCAACATTAAATTAGTTTATTTTCTGGAGCTGGGCCAGTGAACTGAAGTTTTACAGGAGATGTCAAAGTACATTTAAATAACAATTGCAATGCACGTTATTTGAAAGATTTTATTTATCATATCTCTGATCAGTATTTTCGATCCTGCTTTCAATGCTAGAGTTAAATCAAAATAATTTCCTACAGTTTACATTAGTCTCATAAAAATGTGATCGACAGATTGAAATATAATTTTCTAATTACATTAGGAAATTATATAACTCCCCAACAACTCATTACTCATTGCAGATTATTTGGGTAGCTACATAAAGCTTCACTTATTAACGCTGTTTCACGGCTTTAATAAAATCTTAGGTATAAAATAAAATGCCTTCCTCATTTACCTAGAAAAAACTACATTGCATTTTCTAAATGCAATGTAGTTTTTTGAATTTAAATTTTGAATTTAAATTTCAACTTAAAACATGCTTTGATATGATTTCTTTGGAACTCTAGCAGCATATTTATGGTCGATATCTTATTGGCTATGAAGCTATGTCACATCGTCAAAAGTTTCCTTCCAGAAGTATCAGCTTAATTAATTCCTTGTCAAAAAGATTTCCCACAGCATGATGCTTGCACTACCATGTCTCCCTGTGAATATGGTGGTCTGGTTGATGTGCAAAGTTAGTTTTGCATGTATGTCATTAAGAATTTTAGACTCATCTGACCAGGACATCTTCTTCAACATTTTGTCTGTGTCCCATAAGCACGGTTTCTACTGGTCCCTTCTCTTAGCTACTAGCCTAGGTTATCCCTTCAGACATTTACTTGCAGTGGATTTTATTTCAAATTATGAGAGCAAACATGGCTGAATGCAATGGCACAACTCAATTTTGAAATAACACTTTTAAAGTATTTTAGAACCACTAATCACCTTTTTTCACCAGTTACTGCTTTGTCTGTCACGCACAATCCCAATAACACACTCCGTGCTTAAATGTTAGTTTAAAATCAGATAATTTTTTACTTTGTCACAGTTTTCTTAACAAAATTGCTATAAAATTATTCTGTCATTATTAACATGTATTTCAATAGTAAAGGTGTCTTATTTAATTCCCTGGTAGATGAGCTCAGCCATCCCATCCCTGATGCCCCTGCTGTACTCCAGTGTGGCTCGGTGGATCTTCCATTCATACAAGCCGCACTTCCGGAGGTATCGGAGGAACTTCGGAGCCCCAGGAAACAGCACGTTGTCAGCCACAATCATAGACCCTTTTCCCAGCAGACCATATTCCTCCAGTAACTGGAACAAACAGAATAAATCATAGAACAATGTAAATGTTTCTTTATTGATCTACTAGTTGTGTCTTTGTTAATCTACTACCTGTAGGTCAGGCAGGTAGCATTTCTTCCAGTGATCCATAAATACAAAATCCAGCTTATCCAGGTTGTAGTCGGACCGCAGCCGAGGTATTACTTCATCAGATGGATTCACAATGAGCTCCACCTGAAGAAACAAAAAGATGACAGAACAAAAAGTTTGCATTAAGGGGGATTTTGTGAGTATGACCATTTCCTGCTGTCTCACCGTGTCATCGTCAAATCCTGCCAGACGGATGATTTTCTCAGCAATGGCTGCGTTCCCTTGATCCATCTCGATGCTGTAGAGTCGGGCCCCAAGAGGAAGAGCCCGGGCGATTCTCACGGTGCTGTATCCACAATGAGCTCCCAGTTCCAGCACTGTTAAAGGGTTTTGCTCCATCAGAAGGCGGTCCAGGATCTTACCTAAAAACAACACGCACAAGCTCTAGCAGATATGAATTCAGAATGTTCTCCACATCAACACTTTTTGCACACTAAAGTAAACTGATTCCCTGCCTTTTTTAGGCCCAATGTTGCTGATGAACTCCACCTTGCTGCACCAGTAATCAAAAGCGTCCAGGATGCTGTCTGGGTCCCCAGGTGTGGAGTTAGTCAGAACGTACTGGAACGCACGCTCTTCTCGGCTCAAACCAGTTACACAGTCCTTCCAAATCCTAACCAGAACCGCCCGATAGAACAGCACAAAGTAGTAGCGGTACCTGATTATCAGTGTCAGCAGAAGGGGAACAAAGGCCAAAGCAATAGCAGGGGAAGCCATCTTTGAATAGAAAGAAAACGGCAGATACATTTTATTAGAAGTGACATGGAATCTCATTTATTCTTTCACAGCGGTCTTCAACTCGAGGCCTCTAGAGCAACTGTCCAAGTTTTGGACATGTCGCTGGTCCCACACATTTCATTCACATTTAAACGGTCGACTCACCTGCTCAGTGTAGTCAAGCTTTCCAGAGTCTTGCTATTGACCTAAATATTTGATTCAGTTGTTTGAGCCATTAAAACAATTATTTCCACAATATATTCATTTTACAGAAGCGAGATGATTTCTTATTGTGGTCTTTAAATGACAAGACTATTCATATGAATAAACAATGATGTTGAAATACTTTCCACTTACTTGCCTTTTCTGAACTTGGTGGCTTAACTTACAAAGCTCTATAAACTTTTGAGACACATCATCATACGTTTTCATTCTTAAGTCCGTGAGAATAAAGTGCTCAATAAGCTCTCTACTGTGGATCAGATGCAAATACCAACTGTTCAAATGAAAATAGTAAGAAAGACTCACCTGTTTTCTAATGAACGGTGACTCTTTACTAAACAGAAGTGAAAAGAAGCAGTCCAGCTGAGACCAGAGCATGAGAGGAATGCGCCTGTATCCGAGAAGCTCGAACACTTTGCAGTTTGAATAATTTATCCGTCATGTGACTGACAACATGGATTATTGACAGTTATTTTAATGAAAGAGGCATGAAGTTAAAACATCGGTTTGTCTGCTTTTATAATGAGACATATTAGTCTCCATCTGTCAATATCTAAACCAGAGCAAATTATAAGTGAAGGAGCAGACAGTGATACTGATGGAGGCGGCGTGAAACCGATACATCAAGTTAACTGCAACAGGTGTGTCTCTGTGGAGTCCAATTTCTGTCTTCACTGAGTCATGGTGGAAAGATCAAGAAAAGACTGATCAGAAAATGTATGCAACACTTCCACACAAAACGTAAATACACTGATAGGTTTAATTAAATATAGAGGGAAATATTCAAACATAGCAAAACTATGTGAAATACATACACATTGGATGGAAAAAGTTAATTAGTATAACTTGAGAATTTCTTTATGATGTGGATATTTTCTTCATGCATGCAAGTAAAACTCCACAGACATTGTCGTTGAAGGGTTACACTTGATGTGAAATAGTCACTTTCCAAACATTGCATCACCATCACTGCCTGTGTAACTTCACCACAAATATGTTGAAATGGCCAACAACCAGAACACAGCTCTCTCTCTCATTCTTCAGAGTTGAAAGGTTTTCTAAAAAAAATAATGACAAATGTTGAAATAATATTTTAAATTAGCACAATACTGCACAGGATAGTTTTGATACATATGAAATATACCATAGAAAGTTAAAGTACACTCTACATTCACATAAATTTAGATAAAGATCCAAACTAAAACAACTGCTGAATCTCTGAACTTATATAAATTCATAGGGAGGATTCTACAGAAAACAGGCCTAGAATCTCTTTAGACAGAGCCTGTCTGCCAGGCAATTAACAAATTCCTTAGCATGGTTCAAAAGTTCACTAGGATCTTAAAACTTTTTATAAATAATTTTATCTATATTAGAATTAACTATATTTCTTTAAGCATGTTTTTAATTAGTTACTTATTAGATCCAAACTTATAGTCATTATTTAGCATTACATTTTGTGCAAGCTTGGTTAAAAATACAAACTACTTTCTTGTGGAATCATTTTGAGGCAGAGATAACGCTGCAGCTGCACTCATATATCAAACTGGACAGCTTCTGGTACGAGAAGGGTTTGCCGTATATCTGCTTTTGGGGCTCTTTAGCAGGAGGTAATAAAATTAACATTGAGACAGCCCACACAAAGGAAAAGAACACACCTCCTAATGCATACATTTAAATGAGGAGAATATGCAGTCTATAAAAATGGTTTGTTTCACAGCAGAAGTTGGAATCTCTTTGTGCTGAGTGAGAGTTTCCCGGAGGATGCATCTTCTGTTATTCTTTTGTCTTTTTTTACTCAGTTCTTTGTCTCTGTTTTGTAATGTCTTGGACTTTTGCTCTAGGTGAGATGCTTATTGTAAAGTTCTTCTTGGATTGAATTTCTCTGGATAAAACTCTGAATATCTGAAGTCTGACGTCGTATGATTGCTCTTTTCTCTCTCCACACTTACACAGACACAGGAATTCGGGACTAAGAATTAATTAACGAGCTAAATCAAGTACTTCATCTTTTTAATTCTTAACACAAATTAAATAAATTAGCAACTGGCAAGCACGGACATTGTAACAATCAGGCTGTGGACCACTTGAACTAAAAACTGATTACGGCAGATAATTTTTTTTATTATTATTTCATACTTTGAAAACATGGGAAACATGCATTTAGACCTGGAAATGTGTATGTGAAAAAGAACTAATACCATGATGAAAGCAGCCTCAGTTTACAATTTTCTAATGTTCAGTGTCACAAAAAAAAATTCTCCTCTGTTGATGTTTCTGTCCCCTCACCCATTTAGTTCAGAGCCTGTTGAGCTATGCCTTTTAATAATTAACGTTTCTAACAAAACCAGCAGATATTTTGCTTATTGCACTAAATAGAAATCATCAGTGAACTCATTTATCAGACACATTTGTCAGCACAAACACAAAAACAAGTCTTTTTGTCATGTAAATATGTGTTTACCTTGTTATAAAAAATGTGGTAATGCAAACAACAACAAAAAATAGCAAACTAATTAATAAAATAAATTGTTTTAGTTTCAAAAAACTATGGGTTATCATCAAAATAATCTTTTTCTACAGAAATAGTCACTATAGTTGAAATATTCTCAAAATCAATTAAAAGACTACTAATGTATAATGTCCACTGTAATGGAAAATGAGTTAATTGCAATTTCATCAGAATATAAAACCAATTCTGATTTTTTACAATTTTAATGATCCCTAGCAGTTAAATTGCATAAATTTTAAGGGCGTCATACAACTTATGCCGGGTGGTTAGGTGGGAGTATCTACTCTGTCTTTAAGGGTGAATATTTTTGTGATATTTCTATTTTTCTCACCCGTAGTATTTAGGAATTGTTGTGTATGTTATATTTAGGTGAATAAATACAAAATGTTACAGCTACTAGCATATAGGCTCCATTCTGCAGTGGACTAAAACGGCTAATTGTTTACAGCTCTGGACAAGGCTTTTTCAGAAGACTTCTGATGAACTTCTTCAGCTCTTTGTCTTCTCTGGTCCACTTAACGAGTCGAGTCAAAACAAGTCTTCCTTCTTCAGCCTGAGCTAGGGCCAGGAACCATCCATTTTGGGGTCTATTCTCCAGTCTTCCTCCTCTCTTTGCCTTCTTTTTGTCAACCGGCTCTTCATTTTGCTCTTGCTTGTTGTTTGTCTCTGCCAAGTCTAAGCCGGGACAAGTACAGCTGCCTCCTCCCTGCAGCCACAGAGCCCTGTGGGTCATTGCACCTCCAAACTCCTGCGCCCTCTCTGCACCTCCCCCTGCCCACCTCAGGATGCGGCTGCGGGCCACAGGCACCAACTGCCGGTCGCCTCCTACTGTTGAGACACTGTCCAGACGCATCTTTAAAGCTGTGACACAGAAGGAGAGGTTTTAATGCCGTTCCTGAAGAGTCACTTCAGACAACTTTCTGATCTAAAAATGTATCATGTTTTTGCAGAAGCATCAATTTGAGTCTTCCTGGATGAAAAAAAAAGGAGAGGAATGCTCTGAAAGGCGGCGTTGGTTCCTCACCATATGGACTGTGGCAGAAGTTTTTCTGGATGTCAGACTCTCCTTCAGCTGTCAGAGTGCAGGCGTCGCAGATGATACTCCCTGTGGAAGAGAAACAGGATTGTAATTCTGTGGGGGTGGAGAACAGAGGATGAAAACATAAACCTCGTCTCCAGAGCAATGCATTCAGTGGTCACATCAATAAAACAGGCAAAGAAACATGAAAAAACATTAAGAAAAAAATGCAACTATAAGAAAAACTCTTTGTAAAAACATGTAATTAAATGAAAAGTTAAAAAAAATATCTAGGAAGGAAACAAATATACAATCATGTTATGATAACATTTTAGATGGAATTTTAAGTAACTTGTTTTAGTCCTTTTTAGCTTCTCCTGTTGAAATAAGAGGTTGTAGACACTCAACCGCTCAAAATATGCCCAATCTGCGAATGACCAATTTTATATAAATATAAGAAATAAACTGTCTAATTAATATTGAATGAAAAGTGAGATGTAAATTTCGTCACAGTGATCAGAAATCTCATCCTTTTATTCAGAATCCGAACACAGACCAACACAGCCACTTCAGGAAGGAGACATAATCATCCAGAGGTTTGAAGTGTCTTATCGTTAATCCCTACCATCTGTACAGATTACAATGATCACAGTCGTTGTCAGGGCTTGTTTAGCATGTACATTTCAGCCAAATGTCACCTGCAAACATCTGAACCTGACAGAAGAAACCCTAAATAGAAACAGCAGCAACAAATAAACACCATTAACGTAATAACAAGAAAAGTGTCATTCGTTTATGTCTATATCTGTTAATTTGGCTTGTAAGAAAGATGCCAAGGCCCCACTCTTGTTGATTCGCGACACCCAGAGGGGACCCGAACCTGATGTTGGGAACCACTGGCTTCGGCTAAATTTGCATTAAATGAAACGCAGCCGGTGAACAAATAAAGCCTACAGAACGGTGCCACGGAAACTCAGACTGCGGCAGATTGTGTGATGTGTTGTGTGAAATAGTAGGAGTAAGATAAAGACTCTGGACCTTTCGGCTCCTCCTCCTCCTCCCTCCGCTCCTCCAGCTGTCCTGTTGCTGGGATACAGAGCTCGGTCCCGCTCGGGAACCGAGAGCAGTTAAACATCTCGGGCCAGGGGAACCCGAAGGCGCTCATCACGGGCACGCAGCCGTCCCGCACGGCCTCGCACAGGCTCCTGCAGGGGCTCACGGGCCCGCCGACCTCCGGCAGGCACACCGGGGCGAACAGCGAGCACAGGAACTTCTTGGTGTCCTGGTGGCACAGCTTGGAGACGAGCGGCAGCCAGGCGGCTGACTGCTGCTGGGCCTCTCTCAGGGAGTCGTGGCCGAGCAGGTTGGGCATCCACATACGCCGGTAGCCGATGCCGTGGCACAGGGACAGGGTGCTGGGGACGGGCTTACAGACCGAGCGCAACGAGGAGCTGAACCCGATGGTCGGAGGTCCGAGCAGAACCGGATCCGCAGGGTCGGAGGCACAAACTCCGCTGAAGAGCACAAGAGAGCTGAGCACAAAAACAGACATGGTTCTGGTACTGCAGGGAAATGTTCCCAGCGAGCAGCACTGCCTGGACTTGACTCTCTCCTTTGGGTGTAAACAAAGAGGTGTTTGGTAGAAACAGGGGGTAATTAGAGGGCAGGCGCCTCCCAGTCATCATCCCACCCCATCAGACCAACTGACTCAAACTTCACAGGACCAGTTCGACTGGATCAGTAAACCCTCAGCATCACACTCACTATAAATGCTGCAAACACCGTGCCTTGGGAATATTCCCAAATCTTATCTTACATTTGGCCATGTTGCAGTTACAAACTTCAATGTGTTTTATTGGGGATTTCAAGTGACAGAGCAGGATTTTAAAACAATATGAACAAGTGGTTTCCAGTATGAAATAGAAATAGTTGCCCTGACTAAACATTCTCTCACTCGAGCTGTGGATGTCTGCAGCTCTGTCAGCGTTAGGCAGGCTGTCAAACTATTGTTCATTTTCAAATGATGGGGCTGAACAGGGGTCCTGAGATTTTGGCTTGGGATATCGTCTTACTCAATATTTCTCCGCTTCTTCATCCCGGACCTGCCTGGTGTGTTTCTGGTTCTCCGTAACGCTTTTTTCTCCTCTAATGTTCTCAAATGAAGCGAAGAAGCTTTCATAATGACAAAAAGTAAGCCTAATTGTTATTTTTAATCGTTAAAACAAAAGATTCTTAAAACTCTTAATGCCAACAACAATAATAATGCATCAACCACCTAAATATGTAAATATGTAATTAAAAATAGATTCATTTCTTATGAATCTAATTGACTCTGTTGTCAATTAAAGTAACTGATTGTGTGTGGCCTGTTTACGTCTTTCATGGAGTGTTTTCTATTTCTGTTTCTGGACATTTGTTAGTTTAACTGTTACATGTTTGTCTAACAATACATTTTCAAGCTTTTTAGATTATGAGATATGCTGTCAGCAATGTAAGTTGTAAATAGAATTAAGGGTCTGCAAATAAAATGTAATGATGTGTGTTATAAAAACACAGTTTGTGGCATTCTGTCATCATCTACTCACTCAAAGGGTGTTAAGAGGCCCTTTCATGTCAGTGAAGCCGTCAGGTTCACTGACATGTCTTGTCCTGTTCTGCACTGCTCTTGCACTTTGATGCTTGGTACCATTCAAATTGGGTCGAATGCTGTTAAATCCCCCATATTATAAAAATGTATGTTGCATTGTTAAAATAGCATTTACAGTTATATGTTGAATAAACCTCAATAAACTGAAACAATTTTGTAAAGGGGACTCGGGACAATATTCCAGCATAGTATTTTGTATCATACAAACCACTTCTTGACTGATTAAGCGTCATACTTCGAGATGACTTTGTGCATGTTAAAGCCCCAGGGGAAGGTCCAGGCATTTCCCTGACCGCCACTGGCTACCTGAACAACCAATAAAGTCCCAAAGTCATTATGCCCCTTCTCAATTGTTGCATTCTTCTTTAAAGGTGATTTTTCATAGACAGATAGACAGACAGACAGACAGACAGACAGACAGATAGACAGATAGACAGACATATAGACAGATAGATAGATAGATAGATAGATAGATAGATAGATAGATAGATAGATAGATAGATAGATAGATAGATAGATAGATAGATAGATAGATAGATAGATAGATAGATAGATAGATAGATAAACCCGTATGACCTCTGTCCACACCTTTGTTTGAATTTTCCACTCTCACGTGACTGAGGTCATTGCTGCTTCTCAAATACCGGAAGTAGTTGTTGTGTTGTTGTTGCACCACAGCTGCTGTCATGTGATAGCCTGTCTGAGCAAGCTGCTGTGATCAGTGGCTTTTTCTTTTTACCTTTGTCCGGGAGTGAATTAAAAGCAGGCGGGCGAGCAGCTTTATGTTCGTTGCGGAAGAACCACACGGCTCGTTTGTGAAGGAGAGCAGGGCAGCCGGGGTTGTGTAGTTTGACCCTCGGACGCAGCCATGGGGTGCTGTTACAGTGGCGAGGACGGCAACTCCAGAGAGGTAGCTAGCCGCTAGCCGAAATTCATCACCGATTTCTTGCCTATTAAGAAAGAACTGAGACTCGACGCGTTTCCAGTCTTTTGGTTGATGTATAGCGAGTAATATGAGCAATGTGTTGCTATGAAGAAGTCGCTTTGAGGTTGTTTGTGATGGGAAGCCGGAAAGTGGCGTTAGCTTGCTACTTTAAGCAAGCTAACTGGGACAGGCCCAGCAAAAGCTAAGTTGCTCATGAAAGTTTATATAACTTAAAACGGTACAATATAAAACACTAAATGTAAACATTTGTGGATATTTGTATGTATGTAGATCTATATATATATATTAATGCCTTACATAGTTTGGATGTTCATGAGCAGAGGGGTATCCGTCATCTGAAAAGTACTGATTCCTTCACTAGATGTTGGCTTAAATAATCAATCAATGTTTACCAGCAGGAACATCGTTGATTTGACATCTGAATGTCACATGACTGTTAACGTCCTCTGCTGTTTATAGTTTAAGGAAACGAGGCCTGTCTGTGAGCTGGAAGTTTTCTCTTGAAGCGTTTATGGTCATATAACAAGATGCACTGCAACTTTCCCCTAAACTTTATGGATGTTTGCATTTAACTGAGTGACATATTGAAAATATTAGAATGATGAGGACACAGTGATTAATGGCTGGATTTTTTTTAGGCAAGCTTTAGCAAATGATACAATCCAGCATAAAAATCAAACATTTTGATGAACACATTGTTCTGTATACAATTTAATACAATATGAAACTTTTTCCTTTTTCCATTATTTTTATGAATGGAATAAAATGGCGACAAACATGGGATCTTTGAAGATCTGTTACTGTTTAGCTACGCAAACTACTATTTCTATTTGGAACATGTACATGATATGTTCATATATAAATACATGTTCACATTTATACAATGAAAGCAAATAAAACAAAATACAAAACAATTACAGTCCTCCTTCATTGATTTAATTTGAATACCTGAAAAGAAATGGGAAGAAAAAGACCATATTCCACCTCTTTAGTACTTTAAATATAAAAACATGATGAAGGCATAGTAAGTTCTTAGATTTTTGCTTCAGAATTTCTTTATTTTTCAGTCACAGTGTGTGCTGCTCGGGGTACGGGTGCGAGGTAAACTAAAGAGATGGATGCATCAAACTTTCCTTCAGCTTTAATTTTGTATCCAGTGAAAAAGCCACTTTTTCACATTAATAACAGAACACAAAATGTTATTTCATTTCCCTTCTTACTTTGCTCTAGAAGCCTGAGGAAACAGACCCGCTGATCCCCCATCCGAACCCTGTGAGCAAACCTCCAAATGGGACAGAGTGGCCCATCCCTGGTGTCCCCTCTCCACCGACAGATGGACAAGCCCTCCTTACATCCATCTTGACAAAGACTGCGCAGTAATCATTATGAGTTTACACAAAATGACATTGAAACCCAATTTATTTGTGTTGAGGGGGAAAAAAAAGATAATTTTCCTATTTCTTTTAGGAACATAATTGACGTCTCAGCAGCTGACTCTGTTGTAATGGAGCAACATGAAATCATGGACAAAGCTAGGCAGTACAGGTATGTTGAAAGTTTTGCTTATAGACAAAAAAATCACTTTATCATAAGATAAGATCCTTCACTGTTTTCCCCTGAAGCTTATTGGCAGAGTGATCACTGAGATAGAAACTGCTATGGTACAACTATGTAATATTTTTTTATGCCATGTTTATTCCATTATTTACAAAATAAATCCGTTTTGTCTATATGTTATCCATCTGTGGATCAATTTCTCTATTCGTTTGTGCATTATTCCCATTCTTCCCTCTGTCTGTCTCTGCTTTTAGCAGATTTAATACTTTGGAGCCAGACCACTATGGAAATATCTACCATAATTAGATTAAATGAGGCCAAAAATAGGAGAACTGAGAAATTTGAGTCAGAAATTTTTTTTGATTTTGACACGCAAAAGTTGGACCCTGACAAAATGTAAGAACTAAGAATGAAAATCTTATGCCGTGTCATCTTGCTGTGGTTGGATGGTTTAGAATAACATACAGGTGTAGATAAAAATGTTGGTTCTTAAAACACAGACTTCCTTTCATAGATAATGGATGGTCTGTTCCAGACTAAATGTGTCTTTATTTCTAAACCCAGTAGGAATTACAAGCTTTTTTTTCTCCCCTCTTTCAGTACAAAACTGGCTATGTTGAGCACCAGCTTGCCTCAGAAGAAAGCCCTCACTCTTCCCTCCCTAACTAGTCAGCCCCACCAAGTGCTTGCTAGTGACCTGGTGCCATACTCAGATGTTCAGCAGGTAAGCTGTGTTGTTTCAAAAGAGCTCACAGAGGTTTTTAAGCAAAATAAAATGCACACTAGTTTTCCTTTTTTTTCCTTACATAATATTTCTTATTTTGCATACATTCTCTGTTTTCTTGTGTATTTGCAGGTATCCAAGATAGCGGCTTACGCTTACAGTGCAATCTCTCAAATCAAAGTGGATGCTAAAGAGGAACTGGTCGTCCAGTTTGCCATTCCTTGACTGTCCCCTGCATATTGTTCCTCCCGCCCCACTCGCTCTGTGTCACTCCTGCTTCATCGTACTCCAGCCCACCTTTTTTTTTTTATTAAAGCATTTTGGTCGTCCTGCTTCGTAGCTCTGCCACAAACTTTTGTGAAGACAGGAAGTGAATCACCTCCCACCGTCTTAGTAAAATTATCTAGCGTTATTGGCAGAGGTCTATGGAGGTGGATTTCGAGTTTTTGTCCGATGTGTCAGCGAGGCCTCCTCTGTGTGTCACACATGCGTTAGGCTTTGTCCAAAAGATGTAAAATAAATCAATATTCATAATATTTTAGGTTTTCAGGGTCCTTTCAGTGTCTTTTGACTTTATTTTGAGATGGGCACACTGTAGTCACACCGTGCTATCAAATGAGACCGCTGCAGGATGTTTGGCTCATGGTTCACACGCTAGCTGTGATCAATAAGTCATATTGTGTGAGACATTTCACATTTTTACAGTGCAGTGGATGTGATTGACAGTCGTAGTTTTTTACTTGCAAATAACTTGGGACATGACTTCATATTTGTACATCATATAAGTTTAAATCTAAAGTATTTTTTCAGTTAGTTTTCTCAAAAAAGTAAAAAAAAAAAGAAGTAAATTTCATCTTGAAAAGAGTAGTTATCATCTTTCTCCCCTGAGAAATTAAGTTGTTGTTTCACCCTGCATTGAACAGCAGGCCTGGTGAATAAATGCAGCTCATCTGCTGTCACTCTCAATCAAGACAAAACCTTTAGTTTCAGTTTTCATTTCAGCTCCTGATGGTTCAGTCTTTCATCAGACCATATCATGATTAACACGTTCATTTCCGGAGGATAAGGATTCAAACACAAGCAGAGGTGTGGGCTGGTTGGACGTCCTGAAATGTTTTAGCTTAACGGACGAGTTTACAGACAGATGTTCAAGTATCCTGCCCTCCTGATGAATTGGGCACGAACTTAACATTTTAAATGACAGGGTTAGAAAATCAAGGGTGAAGCGAGCGGCCTGTGGAGGATGCAAAGACTCGCGGTATGATCGTTACCTTTGTACAGAATTTTCCGATCGACTACATCTGTAGCCGGTGGATCGTATGAAGGTCCTGAGGGATGACAGTTTTTTATGAAACAGAAATGCTTTTCAGGTCTGCGATTGTTAGCTTTTTACTTAAAGCCTTTTCCCCCACCCCCGAATTGAGGTTTTCATATTAATCAGAAACTAACTTGTTGCAGCATGGAAGAGTGTTAATCTATATACCCGATCAGATTAAATAACCTCAGATCTTTTGCCGATTATTTATGTGTTTTTGTTTCTAACTGTACATGTGCTCTTTAAGGGAGGGCGCAACATGAGATGATCTCAAGTTGCTAAAGGGAGCCTGCAAGACTATTTATACCACACAATTGATTAGAGCTTTTGTTATGCAATGGATTCTTGGCATTTTTTTTTTTGTTACTTAAATGTGTAATACATGGAAGACTGTATGTTTGTACTATCCTAGGCTAGTACCAAAAAGTTAAATAGATTTATTTTATTTTTTTTGGGGTTTAATCAGTTCATTAAAAAGTTTCAAGAAAACAATTGTGTCTTATTGTAGTGACCACATGTTGACTTCTGAGAAGTAGTTTATTTGGTGATGTTACAGAGTTTTAACAGATAATTTACATCAAGAATCAAACATTTCTACAGGTACAAATTTGTATATTAATACAACATTGAGATGTTACTTTATTTCAGTCACTCAAGAAGTAATTATGATATTGTATACATATATTGATATATTTCTAGGATTTGGTATTTGGTGATTATGGCCTAAGGCTAATAATTCTTCATGGACTGTATGTGAGTTTATATCAGGAGAATTAGGATTGTTGACATAGTATAACTGTTCAATATTATTCAACTTACAGGTGGGATGCACCTGTAAGTTCAGAGACGTTTGATTGATCACCTTGAGTCTTTGTTGCTTGAACTTGGCTAAACTCATGCCATGATTAGATTTGAAAAAAATTGCAAGTTAATTGTGAAATGAGTAGGTTTCAGTGATGTTCTCAAACAAACAACGAATTGTTCTATTTCCACCACAGAAACCTCAAATTGTGACATTAAATTGCAAAAACATATTTACAGCAACACTAATTTCAGTTCAAATACTGGTGGCAAATGTGCATATTTAAAAATCTGTTTTCTGGCAGTGAAGCTTTTGAACTGAGTTATGATTTTCACACACTAGCATTCAGTGAAGGCTCTTCCTGGTGCTTCTGCAGCGGGAGTTGCTTTGATGCCACAGCTTTGCCAGGACTCGCTCCTGGTGCGTCACACCACTGAAGTCCATCGTTTTTAACTGTGGCAATGCAGAAATCACACGATTCCTGCACACAGAAAACCACACACAGAATATTGCACTTATTTTAACTTTTAAGAGTTTCTAGCTGTGCCACGTCTGAAAGCGGTAAAGCTATTCTTACAAGTGTTGCATTTTGTGTTGAAAATCAAACATAAAAAAATGGACTGTTTAAAAAGCGATCACTGTTTTAATTAGCAGACGTAAAAAAGACATCATAGTTTCTTAACCTTGAATTATATGTGTGTGTATGTGTGTGTGTGTAAGAGCTGTTGCTGTGCAGACCAGGACAGGAATTTGATCCGTGTTTTAGCACCTGTTGCAATGTTGTGCACATACGTGCCTGCAAAGCATTTGGGTCTAGAGTAATCCCTCTCTTCTGCTCTCTGTATTTATGAATCAAAAGCACGTACCTACTCTCTGCACATATGTGTGTTGTACATAGCAACAAATGACAACAGTAGATGACTGCATTTCTGCAGTCATATAAAACAAAATGTTACAAGTAAAGGACCTCGCTGTAATATTGCCTCAACTCTGTAAGATGTGTGTGTCAGAGAAATGTCTCAACCTGTAAGTCTTGTTTGCCTCTATAGGGTTTCCATGTAGAGTGACGGAGTGAAGATGGGGGAGCACACCCAACCTGTCCACCTCTGACAGAGTAGAAATGTTGTTTCCATGAAGATATAACACACGGAGTCCATGCAACTCACACAAAACCTGCAACATATTTGTGTTCAAGCTTTATTAATGTGGCAGCCTACAAATCACAAAGCAGTGACTGGAATATTCTGACATGCCAACATAAAGTAGCTCATAACTATAAAGTGGAAGGAGCATAATACATGATTTTACAAACTTTTATAGAAAAAAATATATATAAGGTGTACATTTGCCTTCAGCCTCCCGGAATCAACACTTTGAAGGACATTTTTGTGCAGCAATTAGAGCTCTGGGTTTTTTGAGTCCATATGTTGTTATCAGAATAAGGATGAGAGTTACATTTTTGGACATTTTCTTAAAAAAAAGCAACAACAAAAAACTGCTTAAGCCACATCAGACTGATGGAGAGAATATAAACAGACATTTTCAAGTATTGCGTCAGATTGTTCATTGCGATTAGGACTGGACTTTGACAGAGCCATTCCAATATGGTCCATGAATATGCCACTGTGCATTGATAAGTCACTGCATTGCAGCTCTGGCTGCCTGTTTATGGCTGTCACCAGTAGCAAGTCTTTACAATTTCCATTGATTTTGTCCTTCGTCACATTAACACTCATTGGCTTCCCTTTTCCTGCTCAAGACGGATGATACTGACACAACTATGTTTCACTGTGGGGATTGGGTGTGCTAATTTTCCACAGATGATAGCATTAAGGTTATATCAAAGCACTTCCTTCCATGTGTGTGCTTGCCTTTGTCCTGCTTGCTGTGGATTGAAAATATGACTTCTTATGGTTCTCTTTTAATAACTGATTCTCTCCTCTGCCATAAAGGGCCAGATTTGGAAGGACTTGTGAAATGGTTAGTGAAATGATGAAAGGTTGAGATAATATTTTATGACCAAAGCCATAAAATATGTTGTCCCTGACCTTCTGCTGTGTTTCTTTATCTTCATTCTTTAAAAAATTGAGTACATAGGATTTCATGTGGGTTTATCAGAGTAGCAAAGGACAAATTCACATATGTGCCATCAAAACTTATCGGATATTTTTGAAAAAAGTTTTGAAAATCTTATATTAATTGAATTCTCGTTCACAATTATGATGCATCCCTTTGTGTTGGTTTCACATATAAAGTGAATGATATAATTCCAGGGAACTAATTAAATTTGCGATGTAAAAATGACAAAGGTGTATGAACCATTTTTGCAAGGAAATGGTCAAATGAAACTTACCTTATCTATATGTGAGAGTTTGTTGAAGGAGAGGTCCAGCCAGGCGAGACTTGAGGGTTCAGCCAGGAAGTGGCTCACTGTCTGATGGAGGTCACACAGGTCACTGATGCTGTTGTTACTGAGACGGAGGGAGCAGCTAAGATATTTACTTTCTGAATTTTTTTTTAAAGGTCGAAGACTGCTGTGAGGAGTCTCCGTCCAAGCATCTGAAACAGAAAATACAAGAAAGGTAGAGAATTTAAAATACTGGCTATTTATTTTTATTACAGACACAAACTATGTAGGTTATTAAAGCTTTTGTCATGCAAATATTATTTTGCTACAAAAAGCAGTAGAAATCAAAAACAGACATGTTCATTTTTTGTTACTGACTGCATCACTTGCATGGGCAACCGTACTACCTAACCTATTCAAGGATTTTTTATTGTCATTTTATTGAAGTTTGTACTCAGGTCCAGATTAAGAAATTTTTAACATACATACACACACAAAAAATATATAAAAATACATTGATAATTAAATAAAAAATAAATAAATGATGCAAATAAACCTATGCAACTGAAGGTATGTAACTCATAATAACCTCGTTCACCTTCCAACCTCTTCTGCCCCTTTGCAAACACACTTACTCCTATTTGCTGCAGTCTAAGGACTGATTGAGACTTATTTATTTATCATTGAGGGTACCACTCCAATTGTGTTATGTTCCAGAAGCATGATGACAAATGAAAAATAAAAACAAAACAATCTTATGTCTTACAAGTCCAAGGAATTGAAGAGATTGATTGTATAGTAAAAAGGGTCTGAATATTTTTTTAAAATAAACATTTCAATTCTTTTCATTTAAGGAAACACATGTGCTTCATCGTCCTTTCATTTTTAAAAATATAACTCAGCCGAATGACACTGAAGCCCTATAAGACCTGTTGTTGATTTTCTATTTTCAATCAGGATCGACAGAAATGAAGCTCAGTAATCAAGCTGATCATCAGAAAGTGCGAACATTTAGAGAAACCTCGATGAAGATCAGAACCTGTCAATCTGCTGAGGCTTCTGAAAGATAAATCCACCGGAGCTCCACGCATAATCTTATCCATGAACACGTATAACCTGCAGAATTAAGAGACATAAGTCTGCATCATTTTTGTGATACATTTAGCGTAGATGTCTTCATATTTTTGACAAGTAGTCAATCAGTGATGTAAATCCTAAACTAACCGTGTACTCGCTGTTCAAATGGACGTTTCGGTGGGGCCCTTCTTTGCTGAAGCAGTCTTTACACACAACAACTTGATACCAAGGTAACCAACACATGCATTCTGGGATTTGAAGTGAAGATGACTGGCGGACTCGTTAATACGTCATTCCCGTAAACAAATAAATGCTGACTTTACAGGTTGAAATTATATTTTAGCCTATTAATAAAACCTGCGTGTGCAACCTGATATTAAATTACCAAATTTTTATTCCATTTTACTTTCCAGGCGCCAAGTCTCAGTTGACTACATAAAACAAGTCAGATTGAAAACAGAATTAAATCGGCGTGTCAAATATTAACTTTTGTACGAATTCCTCCCGTTTACTCTTTTCTGTTAAACCATTTACTTATTGCAGATAAGATATTTCCTGTTCAAATATGTCAATGTTTAATAACCTGCAGAATTAAGAGACACTGTTATCTCAAAAATGGGTGGCATTTTTTAGATGATAGCGCATGGTGTAATAATGGTGGTCGTTGTGATACTACGACCACTGCTACCACTGCCACACAAAAAATTATATCAAGAATGTTCACGTCCTCCCATACTTTTTGACGTAAACATGCCGTGATGGTTTGCCACTTCCAACATGGCGAACCCCTCTCACCCCCTCAAAAAAAAAGAAAACAAGGCGTGGTAACGTCACAGTATTTACGTACCTACAGTTTCCGGCTTTTAATCCAATCGCCTTCCTCCGTTTCCGCATGCGTCAATACGAGTACACCGATTGGTTGGTTCAATCTCTAAAGGCAGTTTGAATTTTTGTTGCGTTTCACCTGGTGAAACTCGTATCTGTTGCTGTTTGTGTTAGAAGTTGATGTAGCACAAGAAGATACTATCTAATAAGGAAGACTTGGCAATTTGCGTGAGTACCTGCTTGAAGGGAACATTTTATCTTGCCCGAGTTGTCGGGGAACGTTAATTGAGAAACGTTGCTGTATTTATGGCTTAGCTTAAAAAACGAGTTGGCATTGTTGCAATTTAAAAACTAAGAAATACTGCAGGAAAAAAAAGCGTCATTACATATGATCACTGCACAAAAACTCATATGGACTGAAAGGTTTTCACATATTGCTTGCTCAGGTTCTTAGTAGTGAACTGTGAATGTTTTTTCCTCGTAGTTTAAAATCCCTTTGACATAAAGGGTCAACCAAGATGACAAACTTGGGGACTAAAGCTCTTCTCAGTTGGGTAAGTTTAAGCTAATATCGGGTGTCCATATCATTATAGAATACTTTTTTTTAAAATTTACTAATGTTATTTCAAATTATTGTTGCACAGGTCAATAGTATCACTGCATTGAAGAGCGAGATACAGATCGATGATTTACAGGATGGGGCGGTCCTGGTGAAACTGATTCATATACTGTAAGTTGGAGCGTTGAAGTTCTGGGTTTGTTGGTATAAACATTGAAATATTCATTTAATTAACCTTAAGTGTTTGGATAATGTTTTCACAGTTCTTAAAAACTAAGATACTTTCTGTCTTTGAACAAAGATCTGTGTTTGACATAGAGTCATGAATATAACTATTTTCTACATATTTTTATAGCTACATCCACTGTGAAATCTGGCTTATGCTGTATGTAATATTGTGTTATTGATCACTGTTTTTCCAACAACTGAATATGCAAGGAAGTATTTATAACCAGAAATATACTAAGTCTAAATATTAAACTCTGTAACTTAATATAGTTAAATATTTAGAAATTTCTATCAAGCAAAATAAGGTGAAAAGCAACATAGTATTTCTTAATTTAAAATATAATATCAAGAACAAAACATAATATGCAAAAACCACTGCAACATCTAGTGTATTGTATTTTGATTCCCAGTGTAAAATATATTTTCAAGGTATATTAAATTTTCATAAATTTAAATCCACTTATCGTCATACAAAGTGTGTTGGCACAGCCAATCTGGTTTATTTGAACAACTGATTACCTTTTTACTTCAATTGTAATGACATTAGAGCTGCTTATTTTTAATAGTGTTCCTTTTGGGTTCTTTTTTGATGCATAGATGATACTGGATGTTTTCTTGTGCAGGACTGATATGTGTTTATAGTACACATGTGGAAACTATAAGTCAAATGTAAAAATTGGAGAGAACTCATGAAGTATCAGCTTCTTATAAAAGGGATTCAAGCTTTGTGTTACATTCTTGATAATTGATTTAGGCATTTTTGTGTTGTAACAGGAAAAAGAGGGAAATCCCCTGTTTCAGTGATTCTTTTGAGGATCGTGTTCGTTTCATCACAGAGTTCCTGGAAGGTGAACTTTATTTATTACTTTAAAATATGCATAATATGTTTAGTATGTTACCTATTCCAACTTGCAAGAATCAAGTCATTATTTCACACACTCGGCATGCAGACAAGATCTTCAGAGTCCTGCCAGTTGAAACCAGCCCCTGTGGATCCAGTGGACCCAAATGTTAGCAATTCTAACTGGGAATTGCTCTTATTTCCCAGTTAGAAATGGTATGAGCCAGCCTACTTTTGCTGGACAACTGGCATACTTAGTTGGAACAAAAAATTGCAAGTGTGTGAAGGAACTGACCCAACTTCAAAATAAATTTAAAAAAATAATAAAATGAGTGGGATTTCTATACTTTTAGGTACTATGAACTTATAACTGAAATGTGTTTAATGTGTTACGAAATTACAGATGCCAAGCTATGACTGTAAAGCAGCTGACTGGAAACTGCTATAGAAACTAGCTTAACTTGGGAAGTAATTTTCTGTCTTTTTTTTCCATCAGGAGACTGCAAATTTAACCCAACTGAAGGCACCTCTATATCATGGGACAGCATAAAAGATGGACAGAACCTAACGGTGGAAATTTCAAAGGTTAAAAACAAAGGAGATCAAATGTGGTGAAAGGAATGATGAATTAAAACCCATTCTGATTAGATTTTACATTGTTCTCAGGTGCTTTTGTTGCTGTTTTATCATGACATGATGAATGATCGCCACACTCTTAGTGAACTGGATTGTGATGCAGAGGTAAGCAGAAGTATAGTATTTTGTTCTTTACAGTGCTTCTAATATCATGACATGTAATTGGAATTGAACGTCCATACATGTATGTTTCTGTCTGTTAGCGTGAGCTTGCCAACATGACCGACTGTTATGTGAGTGAGAAAGAAGGTTGTGTTTATCTGAACAAAACACTGGACAAATACTTGACAAGGAGATGTAAGTCTAAACCTTCAACCCATAAATACCAATGTGTGTGAGCTACTGGTTTGGACTGACACAGAAACTGCTAACCTGTTCAGATCTGCCTGTATCTCGACAAATCTTTCACAATTCGTCATCCAACTCCACTTCCACCTCCAATCTGTCCACCACCTCCTCGGTCTCAGACAGTGAGTCTCCAGTCTTTCTGCGTACACAGAAGGTCACCTTTGTTGATCTGGAAACGGTGGCTTCCTCCTCTGTCAGGTATTGATGAAAATTTCAGTTAAATCCAGCTTGAGTTTTAGTTGGACCTTCTGTTTATTGTAACTCAAATTAAGCCTATTTATATTTAGATGTAAGAATCTTGTTCTTTAACATTTATTTCTGCAGCAAATCCCCTCTGGCTGAGGTCATGAATACACCCAAGTTTCAGATGAGAAAAATGCGAAGACAGATGATCAAAGAGAGAGAATACAGAGATGATTTGGAGAAGCAGCTAGCCAGCACAGTTACACTAATTACCCAGAAAGGTAGGACAAATAACTCGTTATGCAAGGTTTATTTCTCTTTTCTTGTTGTCGTCTTTTTTTAACTCTACTTTTGCTCCATAATTTTTTTCTATTTTATTTATTATTATTTTTTTTAGAATCTCATATCAACCAGTTGCAGTACCGCCTAGATAAGGTGAAAAAGGAACAAAGAAATCAGGAGCAGACAATCACCGAACAAATCACTGAGCTTGAGGCCAAAAACAACTCGTAAGTGCAAATATGATTTAAATAATTGTCTAAACCTATCTAATGCAATTCAGTACAATCTGAAATAAGAGGTGAGAGAAGTTTATCTTGATGGATTATTTTTATATAAGGTCAAGAGGAAAAAAAACGAACAAACCTGTGATTAATTTTCTTAGGTTACAATTGCGCCTTAATGAGCTGCTAAAGGAAAACAAAGATTTGAAGAGTACTTCTATTTATATGGAGCGGAAAGTGGATGAGCTTACAGGAGAAAATGGTGATCTTTCCTTCCAGGTAATTATGAGTAAACTTTTCTACTTTCTGTTAAATTTATTAGTGCTTAACATGCTCTGTGTGTATGCCAGTGTAATGCCATTGCTTTCATTGTAAAAAGGCTTAGGCACAACCACATAGTACATATAGATTTTGTCTTTTAGCCCTTAAAGTAGAAAATTAAGTATTTATTGTGGGCCTAATTCTAAAAGATGTTTGAATCATTGTCAGATGAGAGCTTTATGTTCCAAGTTGGCCGTCTTTGAAGCAGAAAACGGCCAGCTGGCACAAGCTCAAGCGTCTGCTGAGGAGGAGTGGAGAAACAAAACAAGCCATTTGCAATCAGAACTCAACCAAGCAACCACACAAAAGGTGGGCAATAATGTCACAAGAAAACTGTGCAGCACCATTTCTATTTTACTGTTACTATTTTTAGTTTTGGTTCCTTATTCTTCAGGAACTCTTGTATGACCAAGTTCAGATCCTCCAAGGAAAAATCTCCTGTTTAGAGGAAGAACTAAACAAAGCCAACAAAGAGGAAGTTGGGGAAAATATGGGTCCTGTAATGGAGGTAAGCAAGGTCCTGTGGAAAGGTTTAGTTTTATTTTAGTATCTTCCAATTCTGGATTAAGAGTGGAAGAATAAAATAAGAATATGAAAATATATTTGTATTCCAAACTTTATTCCCTCTCCGATTGTCTTAACTTTAATTCTTTACATCCTTTCTTTGTTGTCTGTCATTTCCTCCTTGCATTCTCTTTTGAGCCCTTCTTTCTTTGCTTTCTGTCTCTTTTCTGCAGTTACCATATTTGAAAAGTATTCTCTGCAGAAATGTTTGCCATAAATTTGGATATTTTATTTTAAGATGATAATGAAAGAAAATGCATAATTCTGTAAATTGTAGTCTGAAAAAAGTTGGGAGTGTGTTTGCTTTTTTTCTGGCAAAGTGTGCAGGGACCATGTGAGGGTAATAGTTTGCAATTTATTACCCTTGGGCTATAGAAATAAACTTTTATCCCATGATAGAAATGTTCATTAGGTGTCTCCTCTTCTTGTATTAACAGAGAGAAATGTTGGAGACTGAAATTATCAGTCTGAAGAACGAACTTGAGGGCACACTTTGTTCCCTAAGAAAGGCAGAAGAACAGATTCTTACCATAACTCACAAGTTGGCTGAATGTGAGAAAGAAATAACTCTGTATAAAGAGCTACTTCAACAACAAAAGGCACAAACTGAACAAATGGTTCAAGCCAAGGATGAAATTGTGGACAAGCTAAGAAACGATCTGGATGAACAGAGAACGGTTCTTGAACAAGAAATCAGTGATTTGAAACTTCAGCTTGAGCAAGTTGCGCACCAGAAAACTGAGCAGATGACCAAACTGCAACAACACATTGCAGCTTGTGAACAGGAAATAACAACTCTAAAAGACCTAAAGAGAGAGCACGAAGATCTTCTGCATCAGACTGACGTAAAGATGAAGGATCTGGAGACGAAGCTGGTGGCTGCTACCACTCTGTTAGCCGACAGGGACCAACAAATTTCCAACCTCAAAGAAGAAGTCAACTTGTTTGCAGAAGAAAGTAAATTAAGCAAAGATGAAATTCAGTCCAAACAAGACAAACTTGATAAATTACTAGAGGAAAAATCACACGAAGAAGAGATTCTTCACAATAAGATCCAAACCTTAACAGTTTGTACGGAAGGCCTTAATTCATCCCTGAAACGAGCTCAGGAGGAAATCCATTTTAAGCAGGATCTGCTGGATAAAACCCAGCAAGAGAATGCCGAGGAAAAGAAAATACTTCAGCAGGAGATTTTAAGCTGTCAGGAGGAGGTGCAGAGGCTAAAAGGAGAGATTTGGCAAAAAAATGAGGAAATGGTCGCTCTAAAGAATGCCAGCACTCAACATTCTCAGTGTCTTCAGCAAGAGATCAACAGTCTAAAAGTTCAAATAGAAAGTCTTAATGATGCCTTGAGAAAAGCTGAGGAAATAGTTCAGACCCAGCAGGGCTTGCTTACAAAACTGCAAGAAGAAAAGTCTCTCCAAACAGAGCTTCTGCAGCAACAGCTGTCTGCTTCTGAAGAGGAGGTAAAAAACCTAAGCAAGTCAATCCAAGCTAAGGAAGATCAGATGCGGCTGATGGAAATCGAAAGTTTGGAAAAGGCTAACTGTTTACATCAAGAGATGAATGATTTGAAGTCTCAGGTTGAATGTCTTGATTCCTCACTGAAAGCAGCTGAAGAGAACTTGCAGTGCAAGGAAAATCAGTTTGCAGAACAGCAACAGCAGAACACTCAGCAAATAGAAACCCTTCAAATGCAGATGAATGTATCTCAAGGTGAGATAAAGAAGTTAAAAGGAGAAATTGAGGCTAAAGAGGAGCAGATGGTTCAGCTAAAGACAGAGATGTCTTCAAAATCAGAGTGTCTGCAGCAGGAGATTGATGCTCTAAATGAGCATTTGAAAAGCATCTCCAGTTCTTTGCAGATTGCTGAAAACCAAATTAAAGCCAAGGAAGACCTTTTAGTCAAACAAGAACAGGAAAGTTCTTTGCAGATTGAAGAATTAAGAATAAGCAAAACTGTTCTTGAGAATGATTTGAATCAGCTGATGCAAGGTATTAAATCCAAAGAGGATGAAGTCCAAACATTGAAGACTGATCACTGCAAGGAATCAGAGGCCCTACACAGAGAGATGCAAACTCTAAAGAATCAGATAGAATGTTTGAATGAATCTCTCCAGTCTGCAACAGACCAAGTCTTGGCTAAAGAAAACCTGCTAGCTCAGAAGGAAACTGAAATTTCCCAGCAGAAAGATTCACTTCAAAACTTGAGGGCTGCTTCAGAAGAAGAAGCATCAAGGCTGAGGGAGGAGATTCAGGATAAAGAGAAGGAGATGTGTTTCTTAAAAAATCAAAGTTCAGAGCAAAAGGAGTCATTTCATAATGAGATAAATGATTTAAAGTCCCAAGTTGAATGTCTTATGTCTTCATTGAGAGGAGCTGAGGAGAACTTGCAGTCAAAAGAGAATCAGTTTTCAGAGCAACAAGAACAGTGCAATCGGCAAATAGAAACTCTGAAGATGCAGATGAATGCATCTCAAGATGAGGTGAAAAAGCTAAAAGCAGAAATTGATGCTAAGGAGGAGCAGATGGTTCAGCTGAAGACCGAAACGTCAAATAAATCAAAGTCCCTGCAGCAGGAGATTGACTCTCTAAATGAACATATAAAAAGGATCTCTAGTTCTCTGGAGACTGCTGAAAATGAAGTTAAAGCTAGGGAAGATCTCTTTGCAAAGCAAAAACAGGAAAGTGCTGTGCAGATCGAAGAATTAGGAAAACACAGAACAGTTCTTGAGCATGAGGTGAGTCAATTGAAGCAAGACATTCAAATCAAAGAGGATGAAGTCAAAGTGCTAAAAGATGATCACTGCAAAGAGTCGGGTGTCTTAAACAATGAGATCCAAACTCTGAAACATCAAGTCCAATATTTGAATGAATCCCTCAAGTCTACAACAGACCAACTGCTGGCTAAAGAGAAGCTGTTGGTTCAGAATGAAATAGAAATTTCTCAGCTGAAGGATTTACATCAGAACATTATGGCCACTTCAGAAGAGGAGAAGCAAAGACTTAAGGAAGTGATACAGGCCAAAGAAGAAGAGATGAGACTCTTAAAAAGTCATAATGCTGAGCAGACAGATGTTTTACATCAGGAGATAAATGATTTGAAGTCTCAGGTTGAACATCTTAGTTCCTCATTGAGGGCAGCTGAAGAGAACGTGCAGTCGAAGGAAAATGAGTTTGCTGAACAGCAACAACAAAGCACTCTGCAAATAGAAACCCTTCAAATGGAGATGAAAGAATCTCAAAATGAGCTAAAGAAGCTGAAAGTCGAGGTTGATGCTAAAGAGGAGCAGATGGTTCAGCTAAAGACCGAGACGTCTACAAAATCGGCGTCACTGCAGCAGGAGATTGAAGCTTTAAATGAGCAGATGAAAAACCTCTCTAGTTCTCTGGAGATTGCTGAAAACAAAATTAAAGCCAAGGAAGATCTCTTGGCCAAACGAGGACAGGAAAGTTCTTTGCAGATTGAAGAATTGAGAAAACACAGAACAGTTCTTGAGCAGGAAGTGAATCAACTGAAGCAGGATATTAAATCTAAAGAGGATGAAGTCCAAACAGTGAAGGCTGATCACTGGAAGGAATCGGAGGCCTTGAACAGCGAGATGCAAACTCTAAAGAATCAGATAGAATGTTTGAATGAATCTCTCCAGTCTGCAACAGACCAAGTCTTGGCTAAAGAAAACCTCTTAGCTCAGAAAGACACTGAAATTTCCCAGCAGAACGATTCACTTCAAAACTTGAGGGCTGCTTCAGAAGAAGAAGCATCAAGGCTGAGGGAGGAGATCCAATCTAAACAAGAGCAACTTGTCAACCTTAAAGAAGAAGGTGCCACACAGTCAGATATGCTTCAGCAGGAAATTAAAAGTTTGCAAACACAACTGGATGCTATGGCCACAACAATGAAAATCAGTGAAGAAGACCTGCAGGCTCAGAAGGAGGTTCTTCAGCAACAACTTTCTGCGTCTGAGGAAGAACTGAGGAAACTGAGAAGTGAGAGTCAATCCAAGGAAGAACAGATGGAGCTGCTGAAGGCTGAAAACGCAAAGCAGTCGAATTCGCTAAATCAAGAGATCGAAAGTTTAAACAAACGGGTGGAAACTCTCAGCGCCTCGATGAGAAAGATGGAAGAAGAAATCCAGTCCCGTGAAGATCTTTTGGCTAAGCAACAAAAAGAAAACGCAGAACAAAGTCAAGAACTTGAGAGCTTGCGTGAGAGTGTCCAACAGTTAAATAAACAGCTGGAACAACTTCACTCACACGAAGAGGAGATTGAAAAATTAAAAGGCTCCCAGGCTGAGAAAGAAAACAACCTCCTGGAAGCTGAAAGGAAACTCCAGGATCTGCAGGCAGAGGTGTCCGAAGCAAGGATGCTCATTGCTGACAAAGATCAAAATCTGAACACCTTGAGTCAGGAGGTTGTGCTTCAAGTTAATTTGTTGCAAAAAGCAAAAGAAGAGGCTGAGGCTAGTGAGAAAATTGTGGCTGAGCTAAAGCTGGAGAACTCCAAGCAGAAAGATGTTCTTCAAGATCAGATACAGGAGCTCAAAGAAGAGTTGGAAACAATTTCTCAAAGACTTTGTGCCAAAGAGCAGAAATTATTTGAAACTCAGCAGGAATCTGCAGAGCTGGTGAACAATCTCCAGCAGCAGCTTCTTTTGGTAAAAGCCGAGCTTGACTGCCAAAAAGAGGCCGTGTCTGAAAGTCTTCAAACAAAAGACGCTGCTCAGGCCTTACAGTTAACCACGCTGAAGGAAAAGGAGGTTCTTTTACAAGAAAAAGAAGCACTCATGTCCAAGATAATTCAATTAGAGACAGACCAAAGAGCTCTGGAGAAACGGGTTGAAGATGCAGTCATTGAGAAAGACAGGCTTGCTCAAGTCAATCAGGCCATGGAGAGGAAGAATGTTGCCTCTTGTAAAGTGGAGGCTGATTTGCAAAAAGAACTTGAAATTCTGAAAATGGCAAAAGAGCAACTTTTGAAGCGGCGAGAAACAGCAGAAGAACTTGAGCTCATCAATGGAGAGCTGAAGCAACAACTTGCAGCAAAAACTGAGGCTGTTGAACACTACAAGGCTCAGGTTGGTTCAATCTTACTCCTTAAAAATTTCAAGTTGGATGTCTCAGTTGTTTTGTTTTGCTGTTTGTGTCATACAAAGTGTCTGTTTGGTCATCTCAATCCCACAGATGGAGAAAGCTGTAAGCCATTACAACAGCAAGAAGCAGCTCCTCCAGAAAAGCGAAGAGGGAAACATTGAGCTTAAACAGGCTCTAGAGGATAAAGACAACAAACTCAAAGCAATTCTCCAGGAAAATCAGATACTCCATCTTGACTTGGAGAAAGCCCAAACCAATGAGAAAAAACTCCAGGGTCATGTCGCCAGTTTAGAGGCACAGGTTGGTATTACACATTAAGTTGAGATACAAAACAATCGCACCTTATGCACTTGTGACAGCATCAACTTTTCATCTGTAGCTGGCTTATGCTGACCAAGTCCTGAGAACACAGAATAAGATTCATGGGGACGGAGGTGGTCCGACAGAGTCTGCTTACCTAGAGGTTCCCAGGAGGACGCACTTGGGTTTTAGCACTACAGCACAAGCGAAGAGGTCCGTGAGCTCGGACAGTCTGGACCAAAGCTCACTAGAGGACTCTCTTAACACTACAAGGTAACCTCTAAATTATGAGACAATTATTGTAAACCTTAAACAGAGTGTAAATGTTATAGATGTTGGGTCCATTGCCGTCCTAAAATGTCTGATACTATGAAATGTAGTTTCACTGTCTTCCAGTAAATGGAAATGATTGGGTAATAACACAAAATTTGAAAAAATGTTTTGGTTTTCCACATTGTTTTTTATATTACTGAATAAATGCAGTTGTATTCATTCTGATTTATTGATATGGCATTTATTCTTTGGTTTGCCTAATAACACTTTGACTTATTGAATAAACACTAATTAAAGAATCTAGAAAATCTATTTCACCACACATTTAGTCTCTACAGATGGCTTTAAATTTAAGTTGAACTGTACTTACACTAGATATAAAATGCCTAATGAGTATTGGAACTACTTTATTAAACAAAAATAAAGTTTGCAAATTTTGCTTTGAATAATCACTTTTGGTATGGATGTTTCATATCTTATTTAGTAAGACCAAGGTTAGACTTTAAAATAAAGGGGATCAAAGTTGGGGCAATCTACTAATCAAGAATTACAGCAACATGTTATTCTCAAGCTGTCAGGACATTATAGAAAATATGGGGAAAAAAAACAACTAGAAATCAGATTATAGAAATGTTTTCAATAAAAATATTCCTTTTTTCTTTTTTAGGGTTTTCTGAAAAGAAAGTGGCAAAAATTGGTTAGAAATATACAACCAATTAGAAAAATAATGCAATAGGTCTTCCTGTTGTATTTTAGTATCCTGTACTTTAGACTGTGTGACTCATCCTACGAGAATATCAAGGGATCAGATTCCATGATTTTCACTTCTGTTTTTCTTTTTTTTTTTTACAGGAAACTGTCTGGACCTGGTGAATCAAGCACTCCGCTAGTTCGAAGTTCAGAACGTTTGGCAGCCAAACGTCGGGGCCTTCAGGCAGAGTCGCTGGAAACTCTGTATTTCACACCCATTAACACCAAACGAACAAGAAGGTAGGTTCAAGCTGTAATGAACACTACAGTGCTTTCATTAATTGGCCCTAAACTGTTTTCTGCATGAGAAATTTTCAGAAAATATAATTTAGTTTACAACTTATTTGAAAGTATATTAGCTTATTCTTTATCACTTTATTTACATTAAAAGCAACAGCAGAGTCAGAAGGTTTGCACCAGTTATTTGAGCTTTTCAGGGAGAAACCATTCACTGCCGCTTCTCTTTGCCTGAACACACAAGACAGTTTTTGTAACATCCATGTTTTCATTTGAAGAAATTTGGAGGACTTGCATGATTTAACTGGTGTTAATCTCCATGCCTGAATAAATGGGAGGAGAAATGAATGCATGTTTCATTCCTAGGAATGACAAACAAAGTGATGATTCTGATATGGAGCAGGACTCGACCCGAAAAAATCCAACTTCATCTGTAAAGAGGCGCAGAACCACACAGGTCATAAATATCACTATGTCCAAGGTAGAGGAAAAGTCTTTGCTCTTAAATATTATGTCCACTCTGAGATTCTGCTCTAGTTTTGAGTCTCTTGCTTGTTTTCCATCTCTAGAAAACTCCAGGTTGCAGTGAAGATGAGACCTTTTACAGCCTGCATTCAGCTCGCTCCCAACCAAACCTCACCGGTGCTCATGCTGCACAACCCATGTCTTTGTTTAATACACCAGCTGACAAGACGAAAGCTGCCAGTGATCAGCTCATTGGCCTTCCAGGCTACAGACGGAGCACCATCCATTCTCATAGTAAGTTCATATCTATCAGATCTACATGGTGAAGGTCCTCAGTTTGAAACAAAATTTGATAAAATGTTATCTTCCAACTTTCTTGAACATGCTGCAGCACCTAAGCAGTTGTCCGATGTCGCCTTTCTTCCAGGTACCAGTACATTCTGTGGGGGAGCAGAGAACGAACCTGAAGGTGGGCCTGAGGACTGGCTGAGGATCGCAGAGCTGCAGGCCAGGAACAAGGCCTGCCTCCCACATCTGAAAAGTAGCTACCCTGTGGAGTCAGAGGTGTGGAAAATCAAACGACCTTCCTGCAGTAGATTCTGAAATAGTATGAGAAGTAAAATGCGCTTTTGAAGCAAGTAGATTTTTTATGAGATTCCTCTTGTTGTGTTCCTGTAGACTGGCCAGGGCAGTGCCTTAATTTTCACGGACGAAGAGCTTCGCACTGGGGACCCATCAGACACAATCCGACGGGCATCCATGAGGCCTGGCCAACTGCAGGACTCCCTGCTCTCCCATCGTCACTCCCTCATGGCGGGCCACACGGGGGTTGGGGTTGGTACTCGGTCCCATCATCTGTCCTTGATTCCAGGCCAGATGCCATCAAGACCAGCTCTCTCCTCTCAGCTGAGAAGCCCAAAGAATTCCAAGCAGTCATCATCCACCTTATCTGTTCACCAGATTTCACCTGAGGTGGGTGTGCAGCAGAATGCGCAGTAATGTCTTCTCAATTAATGATCAAGAGTAGTATTGTTTAAAGTCAGGGCTAGTATTCTGCAAGTTTAATATGTTTCCCTGACCCAACACACTTAAATCCAATTAGTGGGGTTCTGTAGACCTCAAATCTGCTTGTTTTACATGAAAATAAGATTAAATGCTATTGGGTACATGTATGGGTGCAGCGAACAGGATTTTCTTGTTTAATTTCAACTTTATTTTGAACTCTGACCTGGAATGTCAGATCTTCACTGTTTATCTTGATGGATTATAAAACAAATCTTTCAAGATTTATTTTAAAGAATAAATCTTGGAAAAATGTGATGCAGTTTTTCTTTGATGGATGGTTGTTTTGAATTAAACAGGAAATGTTGGAATAACCAGGTTGATCCAATTAATGCATCAAACTGGATGCCATTGATCTTTGCTTGATTTATTTATTTATTTTTTTAATTAGATCCAAATCCTTGTGTTATGTTATAAATTACAAGGAACCCTGCAGAAGTGAAAATTGTTGCATTTAGATCTCTGGGTTAGTGACCGAAATACAGATTTATCTATTAACATTGTCTTTAACCTATTGGTGTTATCCTATAAGACACTGTCTCTATTCTTGCCAATTTTGAGTGTATTTAAAATTGCAAAGATTAAGTGAACTATAAAAAATATTGTTTTGTTACTAAAACCAAAAATTGATTTCTTTACTTTTAATCTGAAGAAAAAGACAAGAGCTAGCTGCTTCCCTCGTCCACTCACTCCCAAGAACAAAAATGTGAGCAGTGGGCCATCCAGCGCTAATCTTCAGCCCATACTTAGTCCTGTAAGTAGAAACGTGAGTGGAACCGTCATGTGTCCTATTTTTATAGAGTATGGTGACTGTTATCTTTAAATTCATTTCAGGCTGATCGTCGGCAGTCTATGATGTTCACGATTGACAACACGCCAAAGAGCAACAACTACCTAAAGAAAGGGCTGAACAAACTGCGCAATTCCACTCGAAAATCTCCTGGAAAAGGTCTGAGAAAGTCGCCGTCCCACAAAAATGCTCGAAGGGATCTGGAAAACTCCCCTTCAGTAAATTCTAAAGCCTCAGTGGGACGATCTGCGAAAACCGGCAGCTTTAAGGCCCCACAGGCTGCAGCTCAGGCACAGAGAGGATCTCAAGCCACTAACAGGTCTGCAAAGTCTCCTGGACTCACTGCTAGTGCTCGCAAGGTAAACATGCACAAACTCAAGACATAAAACCACCATCTGCTCAGACAGCTACTGTTGCAGTTGTAAAATGTTAAATCTGACCAATGAAACAGTGTCATAAATAAGTAAATAAACCAACTAATCAAACATTAATATTGCACACGTTGTCCACATGTGGAAATTTGAGTTAATTCTTTAAGTTTAAAAAAATATATAAATTCTGCTGGGCGATAAATTGTCCCAGAAATTATTGCAATAAACAATTTTGAGATCATTTTTAAATAATGCCATGATAAAGCAAGTTTGGCCTCTCAAATATCAAAATTTATTATTTTTTTTTAAATTACTTAACACCTGAATTGGAAGACATTTAAAATATATTAATATATAATATGTTGGAGCTTTACTACAAAGTGTGTTTTATTCCTGCCACATCAAGAATCTGCTCTAGCATCTTTCTTCCATCAGGTGGCGTAATCACTGTTTCTGCTAGAAACTTGTTAACTGTGCTTACAACTTTATCTTCTGTAATGTATTGGGCCTTGATTGTGTTTTGTTTTTGTATCATTTTACGTGTTTGAGCAAAAATATATATAGCCCTCTGATTTATTACACGAGGCGTGGATGAAGACGCAGCTGATTTGAAAATGTTTGCTGTGGAGAATAATTCTGTTTAACAGGCTGAATAATTTTGAGACAATCACATACTAACATTTATAAGGTAGATTCATCTTACTTTAATGAGAAAATCATATCTACTGTTGCAACAAGTACAGCAAGAACTTTACCTCAGGATTGATGTCTTGTCTAACTGGTTTAAGAGCTGCATTCCTCTCAAACAAGCTTTCTCTGCTGTTTTCAAACGGTTTTACTTTTCAACAAAGCAAAACAATCTGCTTTATTCTTTGTAATTAATGCATGTTGTATTCTGTTCACTGAGTTGATGAATTACATTAACTACTACTGAAAGAAAGTACCATAGAGCAAGTTTTGTCACCAATTTTCAGTAATTGCAAATTTAAAACTTTTTTTCAGAAGAAAGTCTCTGTAAAGGAAGAGAAAGTTTTCTGAGACCCAAGAAGGTTCAAATATATATTTAGTTTTTCTCATGGGTGGCTCTCACACTTGGCTTAAATGGGATGCTATCTAACAGGGGTCCACACTTCTCTTACTGTTATTTTGCTAACACAGGGTTTCTGCAAGATCTTAATCTTAATATACAGCCTTTGAAATGTTTATATATCTGAAATGAAATATAAAAATGTTATTGTTTCTTTAAAAAGTTGAGCTGTTTTTTTTCTTTTTTCTTAAGTGTTGTATTCTGAATTGTATTTCTTGTTCAAGATTTTATTTATTTTACAAAACTTCATGATGTATTGAAGAAATGAACCCCATTGAAATTAATTCATACTTTTACACTTTTACTTTTCTGCAAAACTCCAAAGTATATCTGTTCTTGAACCTTACTTGGAGTATGGTTAGATTACTTATGTAATGACATTTTTGTTATCCTATATCTTTTTTTTGTCGTTTTGGGAATATATTTAACAAGTATTTGAATAAAGGGGTTTTTGGGAATTGGCTGAAATTTGCCAATTACCGTCCAAGACAGTAGTTAAAGTTTGGTGATCAAGATGTTGAAATACTTGGGTCACATTCTGCAAAACACCAATTCAATTTAACAAACATTAGTTTACCTTATGCTTAACAAAGTTAAATATATTTTCAGTATTTAGGTAGATTTTTCTTTTAAATCATTACTATCGAAAAAGTTGAAGTCTGGCTGAAACTTGCAGGAACTCTGTTGCATAGGTGTTTGAATTGTAGTAACGTAATGTATTCATGGAAATTTTCTTCTTTTGTAAAAACAAACTAAAACTTTTTTTCTTCTCCTTTCTCCACAGGTTATGAGAAGGATGAAGGTTTAAAGGCTTCAAGAGTGACATTCATTATCACCTACTATTTTTTCTTCATTTTTGTTTTGCTCTTGCTTTTCGCTAAAATATTTCAATTTTGTCCGTTAGGATTTTTTTTTAAAAAGTTACCTTTTCTGATCTGATTTAAAAGACCATTAAAATGCCTGTAAAATAAAATATAATAAAATGAAGTAAAAGTTGCAGTGTCCTTATTTCACCAGGTGTAGATTTGGGGTTCAGGTCGGAATCTCTTTCATGTCAGTGAGTATGTTTGAAATGGAAAATCAAACATATTGTACTGTACTCTACAAATTCATCTGGAAAGACTTGTTGAAATGACACAATCAAAAACAAATGCATTGCTCACATGAATACTTCTTAAAATAAATGATTTCATCTCTAATATTTACAATTGTTCCATAACGTTATGGAAGCTGTTTTCTGTGAAGGTGCTGATGACTACTAAGACAAATTAATGTCAATCACTTCTGTCATTCATTCACCATAAACTGCAGATTTTACTTTATGGGAAGATCTTCCACCTACGTCACAGGACGGCAGTTAGTTTTACTGTTTACCAGCAGCTTAACAACTGACAAAACTGCATTGGATTAAATCATGTTTACTTCGTCTGCACTGTTCAGAGGCGAGCATTACTGGTGAAGCAATACGGCACATTCCTACAGGCCAGTTAGGACATTCTTGGATCATAAACTGTCAGTGCACTTCCGGTATGGAGCCTAAACCTTCAGAATAAGCTAAATGTTAATAGCGTGTTAATAATGTGCCCTGAAAATCAACGTGGTGGATCTGACTGAGTTTTTTTTTTTAAAAAAACCAAGCAACTATGTACTTTAATATAAGCTAGGAATTAAATAATTACAGACAAGAGGAATGTCTTCATCTACAGATTCAAGTTAGGATTCTGACGGGGCCTGTCAAAAGCGTTATTTATTCCTTTTAAAAGAAAAAATTGACGGTAAACTTAAAGATTACAGCATAATTCCGCCAGGAGGAGGATAATGTAACAGCATACAATAATAAGACAAGAAAATTAACAAAACTGCACCAGGTTGAAATGATCGTAAAAACTGAAGCTCTTACTCTGAAAATAAAGAGCCGGAAGTTGTTTAGATGAAAAATGATCAGGAACTGAAAGTTAGACACGGCTCTATTCAGAACCTTTTAAGTTTTACCCTGTTTTGCTTGTATCATTAGCTAGTGGAAGTACATTTGTTTTACACCTCGTCGCCTTAGCACTGCTGGGTGTTGATGTAAATACAGCAGAGAGGTTTCCAGGCTATAAAGTCACGTAAACCAGGTGTTTTCAGTTTCATTTCCGCGTGTCTTAATCTCACCTGGCAAATATCACCGCCAAGAACCATGGACCCAGAAAAGTAGGTTGTGTTTTTTGTATAAAGCAAATGTCGATGTTTGTTTTTAATTTTTTGGTATGAAACATTTCTTGCATGTAACGTAGTTCTACTTGTAAGCACCACTGTGACACAGTTTTAGCTTATGCTAACAAAAAAAAACCATTTTAGCGGATTTGGCTACAAATACTTGATGATTTGGAATAATTTTATAGTTGTTATTATGGTTGCATAAATGTTAGCGCATTAGTTACAGTATTGTAGCACAGATATTACATGTTCACATACTAAAAACTGAAATGTGTGGTGTGCTTTTTTTCCATGGCTCCTTCCTCTGACAGCCATAAATTAAGTCAACTAAATCTTTTCTTTTGATTTCCACAGCAACCAAGCTGCAGGAAGTGATGTGGAATCGGACAATGAGACCTATGAGAGGCCCCCATCCAGTTATGGTTCGATGAAGAGCGAATGTGATGAGATGGAGAAGAGGAGCAATGAGGAAGAGGACGAAGGGGCAGGAATCGCTGAAGTGGTGTGTTTTGCAGCACCTAATCCTCCTGCTCCTCCAGTTGTTGGGTAATTTTTCACACAATTACACATTGTCCCAACTTCCCTGTGTCTTCTATGCATTTTGGTGCTTTAGAATCAGATTCGATCTGTACTGACCTTTGCTTTGCTATGTGTTTGGGCTGGTTTCACCTCATATCGCATTACTATGGTGTGAAGTTATATTATACCCTCTGATTGTATCACTACATGGAAAAAAATATTTGCCATATTTACAGAAACTAGTACACACCGTTCTTATTTCTTTTGATGGCTTTTACTTTTAAAGTTAATAATATACACCGATCAGATGTATCATGACATTCTGACTATGACTACATGGCTTCTTTGCTTTGGCCCCCAAATTAGCTCCACTAGACCCTCAAAGAAGTGTTGTGGAGTCTTGGAGAAATATGTTTACAGCAAATCCCTGAACTCAAACTGGGAGCTGAGACTTGTTTTAAGCTATTCACTGATCTTTATCTGACCCCTTTCTAACAGCAGTGTGAGGTGCAGTAGATTACCTGTTGTGTCAGATCACACATTGCAGCCTTGATTTTTCCCATTTACATCAGTGAGCGTTGGCTACGTAAAGCCCTCTGATTTGTTTTACTGCTAGACCTGTCATTGATTGTGTAGGATAACCCCTGGAGGCTGAGAGCATCCCTTCAGAGCTTTCGGATGTGCTCTAACTGGCAACTCATCATCACAATTTGCCTCTTACAAAACTCACTCAAATCTTTATGCTTGAATATTTTTACTCCTTCTAGGCTCTATGTTAAAGAGATACACATTATTAGCAAGTAGTCACACTGATCGGTGTGTAAAGTTAATACATTTCTATCATACTTTTTCTAAAACACATGCATAAAATTAACATTTTAGCAAAGGTGAAACATTTAAGCAATTACATATAAATCCTCTGATCCAGCAGAGTTGTGTAGACATTCATTTCTTCAGGATATGAGAACTCAGTGGTGATTTCTTTTTTTGTGGTTTGTGCTCTCTCTTGGATCTGTTGTCAGTCCAAAGTTTATTGTTGAGTTTGACATTAAGAAGCTTTCCTCCTATTAAATGGGCTCACTGAAATCCCTTCATCTTTGTCTCTGTTACTGACGAAATGCATGTAAATGCCAGAATTCAAAGAAAGCTTCAAGAAAAAAAAATTCTTGCATTTAGCGGACATGAATAATTTCTGTCATTCTAACTGACTGAGAACAAGAGAAGTCAGGTCTTATTTAACTTCAGACAATGAGAAAACAAATGTGCTTGTCTTTTCAGGGCTGTGTAAATTTATCGATCCTATGATATTGATCAGTATTGTTTTCCTCAAAAAGCATAGATTTTATCTATAAAAGCAGCAAATGACCTCCAGAAAGTCAGACAAACTACTGACTGGATTACTAGATTCAGCCTTGATACTTTCAAGCAAAATGTACCAGTAAATTGATTTAAAACTTTTGAATAACAAAGGGTTTGCTTTTTTAATGTTTAAGAAACCTCAGGTTTTTTTTTTGGTCCTTATAAGAGTTTTGTGTTAATCAGATAAATATTTTGCAGGTCTCAGATGGGCCGCTCTCGGTATACAGAGACACTCTACACTGAAGCCACTGAGCTGACCAGGCCACCAGAAGGGATGGTGATTGATGCAGGGTAAAGAAAACACAGACACACTACTATCATGTGGAGTTATCTATAATTTGACTTTCAAGTGTATTAATCAGAATAAATGTATTTCTATTTTACACATACCAAAAAAGTTTTAAATAAGTTAATTTTCTCTCTCAGCTCTGAAGAACTAGATGAGCTCGAAGATGCAGAATTGGATGATGACGACGAACTTCTGACAACTTGTTCTCCTGAACCACCCGAGCCTCTAGAAATGGAAGGTTTACCTCAGGAGGATGAGAACAGCCAGCCAGGAAAACTAGACCCAGAATTGGATTTGCCTCATGTATTCAAAGTTCGTACACACCTTTTCTATTGTTGTTTTTGCTATCAAACAATTAACATTATCTTAGATAAGATATCTTATCTAAGATAACATATCTTAGATAAGGCTAAGATATCTTAGCCTTATCTTAGCCTTATCTGTCTAAGATAAGGTTGCATTTTAAATTAATTTACCAGCTGATGATTTACGCCTTCCTTGCATCTTTTTATCAGTTAATCTTTGTACGAGGGGTTAACAAATTTTTCCATTTGAGAGTTAAATTATTTGTACTCCTTGTAACTAAAAAGTTAACATTTGTCCATTTCTCTGTGTCTGAAGAGTATCCAGGAAGTTCTGTCCCGGCTCAACAAAGATGAGCTGTTCAAGTTTAAGATATGGTTTAAAAAATGGGAGCCGCTTCCCGTCTTGCAGGAAGTCCTGGATGGAGATGTTCTCGATTTTGTGGATAAGATCATTGAACAGTTTGGTAAGAAAACTGCCAGGATGTGTCAGTCTGGTGGAGCTCAAAACTGGGAATAAAGCAGATTTCTGTGATTCTGTTGTTGTGTCATTAGAGGTAGTGTTCACATAGTATTTGGATGGATCATTGTGCAGCGTGTGCTTCCTGTTACTTTTCCATCAGCTGCTAACTTGTCTGATTTTGCTTTTCATGTCCAGGCCAGGATAAAGCCCTGTCAAAGACAATAAGCACACTTGAAAAATTGGAGAAGACAGAGGAGATTAATGACCTGAAAACAAAGTGCGCGAAAGGTGAGACAAAGCCGGGGCATTTTGAAGAAAGACCACAGTACACAAATTGTATTGCAAGCAGCTCTTTAAAAACCAGATTTAACCCATTCATAGTGAAACATCTAGTACTTTATTAAATGAAACATATGTTTGAAATTGGCTTAATTAACTCTTTATTCAGGACTCCATTAATTTTTTCCTTTTCTCCTCCAACAGCTATGTTTCGTTTTTACCTGAAAGAGTATATATTTCGTAAAAGTCAAATCATACACGAGGGTGTGCCTCAACCCGGAAAGCAGCAGTTTCTGAATGCCGTGTATGTGGAGCCTCAGATTTCCATCCGTGGCTTTGGAGGAGTTGACCCGTCTCATGAGATCTTGGCACAAACCCCGAAACCTCTCCAAGTCCCCAGTGAGGACTCGTTCGTTGCCTTGAACGATCTGTTCCGACTGCAGAAAGAAGATGGCTCACCCGTGAAGACGGTCGTGACCACGGGGATCCCAGGAGTCGGGATGTCTGTCTCTGTGGCAAAGTTCTGTCTAGACTGGTGTGAGGAAAAGGCCAACAGGGTGAGAACTGACACAAGCTTTCTTTTGGTAATCAGTAGTATGTGCAGGACGCGGGATGGTTGAAGTCAATCCATCCCGTGATATGGACGAAGTCAAGAGGTTCAAGGTAACTTGTGGGGAGCATGGGTGAATCTGTTGTTAGGGCAATTATAAGTGGTCTCAATGAATCTGAGTTTTATGGAAGAATTGAGAGAAAAGAGCCATCATTGCCCTTCTTTAATTTTTTCACAACTGATCCAGTTATCTTTTAAACTCATATTAATTAGCTATTTTAGGTTTGCAGTGGGACCAGAGTAACTAATTTCATTCCACCTCATGTTTTTAACATGTTTGAAATGAAAATGAATTTCTTGAATCCTTAAAACAGACAGCTTTTATTTGAATATCTCATCAACTTTCCTCTTATTTTGATTTCTTTTTCCATTTCTGCCTGTTTTTCTTCATTCGTTACTACAGCAGTGTGCACCATTTGGTAACATTGTCATTAATGTAATGTGTCATTATTGTCATTGAAATTTGATATTAATTTTCCACACTACAGATGTAGTTTATTTTTCTGTAGATATCTTTGAAACACAATTTTGTTTGTTTGCTTGCATATTTTTATATTTTGGAAATTAAACTTTTTCATTCCTTTTAATTTCTGCTCAGGATATTCAGTACATCTTGAAGCTTTCGTTCCAGACCCTGCGGCATTTCCTGCAGAAAGAGTATGAGGAAGAAGGCATTTCAATGCAAGATTTATTGGAGTATCACCACTCTCCTATAAAGGGTCTGAATATACTGGAGGAAGAGAACGCCAAATATGTCATCATAATGGACTGTTATGATTGCTACGAGGCGCCTCTGGACTTTAAGGTATCCACTATGAACACATTTGGGAGAATCTTCAAAAGTCATCTAAATAAATTAACGTTTTGCTGATGTTCTGTTTAACTGACATGGATCTGTTGAAAATAATAAAGAAGTAAATAAATAAAAATAAATCTAGGAAAATAAAAACAATCTCAGAAATAAAAAAATGTCTTGTTGGAAAAACAAATGTTTTTTTTTTTTCTAAAAGGTTTTATGTTCTGTTCTTATATTCAGAAAGCTCCAGAGATTACTGACAAGAACACCAAAACACACATAAATAATCTAATTGTTAACCTCATACGAAGAAATTTGCTTCCGAATGCTCGACTCTGGATCCTGGGAAGACGAGCAGCGATCACCGAGATACCCGCTAAGTTTGTAGATGTTATTGCTGAGCTGCAGGGTTTCAGGTAGGTGATTTCTTTTATTTGTTAAAAGTCTCTCTTTCTATCGGTTTGCTTTTTCTTTACCCTCTTCTCTGTGTTTTCCAGTGATGAGATGAAAGACGAGTACCTGACCAAACGCTTTGATAACCCTCAGTTAGCAGCGAATATTGTGAGACACTACAAGCGCGTGCCGATACTTCAGATTCTTGCTCGCCAGCCATTTTTCACCTGGATGGTGGCAAAAATAATCAAGAGCTGCTTTAAGCAGGCGAACTACGGAAGCAACAAGCCCAGAGTGACGCCGTTTCTCATCCACTTTATTATCATTCAGACGAATCGCATGCTGAAGTTCTACTTCAGAAAGAGGGATAATGAGGTGTGTGCTGCTTTTCCCTGCATAAATGTTGTCTCTCCATCTCTTAATTTCAGTGTGAGCATTTGAAATGATTTGTTTCTGGCTTGTTTTCATGTAGAAATGGACCGACGTCGAGGTTAACTTGCTGAGAATGTTAGGGAAGATGTCCTTCAAGATGCTGGAGAAGAACACCAACGTGTTCACCGAGGAGGATGTGAAGGATGTGTCTCTGGAGTTGAACGAGGTGGTTGTGTTCTCGGGCCTTTGTACTGAGCTCGTTCCTACATTCATCACTGGGAAAAGGACTTTCTGCTTCTCTCACTACACCATTCAGGTAAACCACTATGTCGTGTCTGTATATTACACCCAACTAATGATTTAGGGAGAATTTAACTCCTTGCTAATGAGTCTGCAGTTCACTCTTGATAAAAAATGTGAAATTGAAGCATTTTTCAAAACTGAAGCCGTTCTGTGAGAATTTTATTGGAGATTTGTAAGAATTAATCTAGGCTTTAAAATATGAGAAAGTTGGTCCTAAATCATTTTTTAGATAACCTTAGACTAAAACAACCAGGTTCTATACAAATAAATTCATGCTGTTTGAGACACAGGTGTCAAGAGGAATGTTATTTTGATGGTCTAATTTGGACTTTTATGAGCTATTTTTAAACTATGTGAGGAAAATCAGCTGATGTCAAATTAACATTCACTCAGAGCAAGATCCAAGAGACATTTGAGCCCGATGCGTGCGGTCGTCTTCAGCTCGAGCCCGGCTGTATCTCCACAGATATGTGGCAGCTCTGTGATCGTCTCTGGCTTAGTCACTGTAAGAGCTGGACTTATTTTAGAAAAATAGCTGTTTTATAACTTAAATTCACAATATTTTCAATCATTATCGATCACTTGGAAAGTCTAAGGTTGTTTATCCTTTTCGGTGGAGGCAGAGTGATGAGCAGCAATGTCAAATAAAAGTTTTTCTTCCCTGCCACAATAAACATTTTATTTGGTGCAATAAAATGTTTGTCTCATTTTATTGCACCAAATACCCCAGAAGTTGCTTTTAACCCTAATCACATTGTAGTTTCTACTTTCCCCCACTAGGTGGCGGAGCTGCTTAAGAGAAATGGAAAGCAGTGTGACATTAAACCTGCCTGCTACATTTGTAAAAACTGTAGCTATTTACAGTACTCCTAACCAATCCTTTAACATTCGCTGTTTCCTCTCCTAGGAGTTCATGGCTGCTCTGTACGTCTTCTTAGCGTTCCACCTCGACTCTAAGAACGTTCTGGAGAGTAGCTTCCTGCCCAGAGTCTTGTCATATAAAATCAATGGCAAATCAGCTGCAGGCCTTGTGCAGTGCGCTGTCACCCGGACCCTGAGCTCCAAGCCGGGACATTACGACATGTTCCTGCGTTACTTGTGTGGCCTGTTCTCCCTGCACTGCCACGACAACCTGCTCAAGGGCTTCCTGTATTCACACGGCGTCCCGAAGGTAGAAGGACTGGGGGAGGTGGAGCAGTTACTGGATCAGACCATCGAGGCCGCGCCGGAAGACAGGAAGCGGAATCTTAGAGAGTGTCTTCGAGAGATGACCCAGGAAGATGAATGAGCTGAGATTAGAGCATATCATGGATGAAGACTGTTTTGATTTGTCATTCAACTATGTTTTAAATAAGGTGATGTTGGAAATAACATTAAGTGACAATAATTGAAGCAGTACTGGCTCTTATTATGATGAAACAAAGAATAGTCTATAGTGTTTTAGCTGCATCTGATGGCATAAAATGTTTTTTTTTATACATTCTAAGTAGACTTTTTACAGCACTGTGGTAACCTGTGTATTTACCTTTAAAATACATTTTTTTTTGTTTTTTCTTATTTCAGTATACCGTTATTTTATTTACGTCCAGTCACTGGATAACTTTATTTGCCTAAGGAGAGAGAAATGACACTATTAGTTAAGGTGAAAGTTAGGGATCCTCAAATCCAGTCCATCTGATTGTGGTGTGTGGAATCCCAGCCTTTGGGGATTTGATGTGACAATCTCTGGTTTAGATAATAAACCAAACGACATAGAAACGAACAGGCTTTAGAGTTTTTGCAGAAGAAAGCAAAATGGAGAAACAAGACTCCAAAACTAAGTTGAGATCATCTGCTTTCCTTCTCTTTCACATTTCCTTAAACTTGATAAAAGGTATTTTGTTTTTTTTTTTTTGCTTGTTTGAATATTTTTCTTCTAGTTGTGTTGACTTTTTCAAACATTGTTATTGATTATGCTTGGTGAATGTAAGGGGGCATATAAAGAGTTTTTCCTACTTTAATATAACATTTGATTGTCTGAATCTGCATTTTTTGGTTTCACTCCTGCCAGTTTTAATCCTCCTGATTAAAATTGTCAGTAACAATAAGATCCAAACACAAAGTTTCTGTGGTGTTGACACAGCTGTGGATGTTTTCTAGAGAAAGATTCTTTTACATGAGTTTTTCTGCTTCTCCTACGTACCAGAGAATGAACATCAATGTGAGATTTGACTCTCACTATAAGGTTCCTATTTTCAAATGGGACTTGACTACGTTTACTTAGTGTTGTTTTTATGGTTGTTCTTTTTCCCCATCTTCAATTTGTACTTTCATGAAATCAACAAATATAGTCAAGCTCCATTTGCATCAGAGATTCAGATCCTACCAGGAAACTCAAGTTTCTCAATTAAATTATGCACAAGAAACCCTGATAAAATACACATTTGGTCCTGACAATTTAAAAAATTGGAAATACTTCCATTTAATTTTTTTTCAAGTTTTCTATTGTGGGGACTTGGAGCCTAAACTGCAGATGTAAACTCACTGTTTCTACATTGTTTAATTGTTACAGTTATAGTTTCTCTAACTTCCCATTGCTGTTTATTGAGAGTTGATGTTACTTTTGGCTGCTTAGCTGCTTTCTTGGTTTCTGCAGCTAGAAGTGGGAAACAGTTGTAGCGCATGTAGCATGTATGGGGGACACTGGAGAGCACAGATAAAAAAAGGGACGGGGGGACATGTCCCACACACACCATGCGCAGGCAACGCTCATGCTGATGCAGACTGTTTATTTCAGCCTCGGTAAGGTTGTCCTTAAAAATCACCTCTAGAGAAATCATGACCCAGTGAGACAGGACGCCTTCAATGTCAGGTAAAATTGGGTTCAGTTTATTATGAAAGTGTAAATACATTCTCTAAACCAAGACAAGGAATGAAACATTTATTTTAAGTCAGCTATTCTTTAACAGAACTGATAGATAAATAACAAATTGTAATACATTGTCATAACCTACAGTATGTATTATGCTGTACAAAAGAAAGAAAATATTTAAGAAAGGCAAAACACAAAACTTAATTTGAAAGTAATGCAAGAAACACACCAGCAGTGATTCAAAATAATCCTCCAGAGTAAAATTAATTTAGTCTTCAGGCATCACAGTCACATCTGTAAAGGGAAGACATGGTTATTTTTTAATGTATTTTGTTTAGTCAAATTTGTCAAAACAAATTTGACTAAAAATTTGTTTTTTAGTCAAATTTGGTGTCCGTTGTGTATATAAGGCTCCTCATTAAAACATATTTGCAATCTACATCAATGTTATGTCAAACTGGACTGTGAACAGCTCACCTTGGCAGATGAAGGGTAACTCATCATGGCAGTTGGCATCAAGCAGGTAGATGTTTTCTGTCTGATTACTCCGGACAATCTTTCCACAGTGATTGTTGAAACGATCAGCCGGAAAACTGCTGATCCACCGAGACTGGTCAACTTTGGCTCCCGATGTCCACTGCCACTTTATGTCGGTGCCAAAAATGGACCGCTCCAGGCCGACCCAGATCCCTTTCTGCAATCCTATCTCGTTTACCAAGGTTTCCTTTAGCTCGTCCCAAACTGTCTGGTTAGTTATTTCAACCAGAGAGGAACTCAGTTGGTCACAGTATTGCAAGGCTTCAATCCAACTTTTTTTTTCTCCAAACAACTCCAAAGATGAACCTTAAATCAAAAAAATCTTATTCATTACTTTTTTACTGAAGCAGAAAAGAACATTGTTCTAGAAACACTTTCATACAGCAAGCATTGCACTCATTGTAGCTCATTTGCAAAAATAACATAAAAAAGACCTGTGGAAAAGCACCTGTAGCCCCATTTGCAAATATTTGCAAAATATACAGGCAAAACCAAAACTAGCAAAGAAAATATATTAAAATCTGTATGACAGTGTAATTGTTTTGTGCTAAAGTACTTACTGGTTTCATCAGACGTTTCAGACAGTGTACAGGTAAAATCTTTTAATTCTACTTCAACTGAAGAAATGGTTGGTTCAAATTCTAACACATCACAGTTTGGGGCTGTTCTTGAGCAGATGCTGCAAGACAATCTCATATCACCAAAAGAAAGATGAAACCACAAATATCCCATGACATTACTGATAAACATCTGAATATGAAATAACGCTAGATTGTTTTAATATGCTCATCAATCCAAGCTCAGCCAAGAAAACCTTTACTTAGTTTTATGGAGAAACAGAACTGTTAGAATAGCCCAGTCATTCACCCAAATGAAATATGGAAAGAAGAAAAGATCATTTTCCTTACTGCTGCATAATTTCCCCCCAAAGTTTTTTAGACGTGAAGATGGCTTGTGAGGAAGAAATTGTCAGATTGTGCTCCTAGTTATTCAACTTAAAATTCATAATATCATCTTTGAGAGTACTATGTAGATTGTTACAAACATTTACTATGAATTATATGTGAGTGGCCCAATTAGAAGCATATTTTCTGACATTAACTTGTTCAAAGCTTATTTCCCCTATATATATGTTTAAAAATAATCACCACATAATTACCTCTCCTCACATTCCTTGCAAACTTTTGGAGCAGAGCATGAATGTTTTTTGCAGCATTTTTTACACATTTTGTAAGTTTTTCCTAGAGCATGAAAACAAACATCTGAGTTATACAATCTGAAAATATAGAGAATTTAAAAAACATTTTCCTTTAGGCACATAATTCAAGGTTTAGTTTATTTATAGTCATGACAAAAACTAAGGCTTGTAAAACATATCACCTTTCACCACAACTTCAAGACACGGGAAGGTATCGGCATCTGGCCAAGAACAAAGCTCTGGGAAAGCTCTTAATACCAGCCTGAATTTGTTTGTGTCAAGGCGAGAACAACATACTTTCAAAACATTTCTGTCATTCATGTTCTTGATAATCCATGCCTTTGGACACTCATCAATGATGATGTTCTTTTTACAGGATGTTGCTGTAGTAGAGAGTGGCTGGACAGTTGCTAAAACACAGGGAAATAATGTCAGAGGTTATATATTTATGTATATATTTTCATGGATCCACCATATAAAACAACAGAGTACAACCGTTTGGTGTTACGACTTTCTGAATATAATAACCAAAGGTTAACTATTAAAGCTGGGTGTCATATTTGGAAATTAAACAAGGAAACTTTACTGGTTTCAAAATACTTGAAATAGATGGCTGGATGTAGACTTCTTTCCAACAAAATCTTAAGATAAGCTTTATTTTGTTTTTATAAACTATGCCAAATTATATAAATAAAGAAGAATACATAATGTGTGACTTTCAACTTGTGAAACTTTCACAAGTTGAAATTACAGTCCAAATGTATTGGGTAGCTTGCTAAATGTCAAACTGCTTGATTAAAGTTTATACAAGTCAATGTAAATATTTATTCCTTTTTGTTGATGCCAACACTTCTGGACTTCTGATAAAATGGTGGACAGATAAATGAAGCCACACACTTTCAACACAAAATTTATATGAATAGTAGGTTTAGAGAACCAATAAATGTGAGTAAATATACAAATAATTATATATTTTCAATAAAAAGAACAAAGCAAGTTAATTACAAACACAAAATTGCAAAATATAGGAACATACCCAGCAACATTAGAAGAATGATCTGATGATCCATGGCCTTTAACCTTTTAGAAATTAAAAGTAAGTTTAAGCAAATGATTGAACAATGATTGTCACAAGGATGGCTATTGTTGTTTTTTTTTTTTTTTTTTGCATAAACAGAATTTCTGCTGCAGCTTAACAACTTTTATTGAACTGAAAATTGCAAGGATCGTATTGATTACTGTTAATCCAGATTTTTTTCTCTGCCAATGCATAAATCCCCCCACTCCTCTCCAGGAGCTCCACTACCCATGTAATGTCTTCTTTTCCTGGTTTGAGATTCAAAAGTGTCTCAGACATGAAAACTATATTTTTGGGTAAACGTCAAGGATAGCTAAGAGTCCATCAAACTTTTTAAACTTGTTCATATGCAGGATATGAATGCATAATACTTAAAATGTAATATACTACCAAATATTGCATTGAAATTGCGATATTGCACACACTGATGTTTTAAACATGATTGTGATTCAATATATTTTGCTTTTCTACATCTATTTATAAATTACAGGGTAATTATTCAAGATCTTAAATTTAGATAATATCTAGTATTTTTTCAATGCTCTTTGGCTTTATTGTAAACTTACCTGGTGAAGCAGCAGGTAAGTTTGCTGTTTCAGACCAAAGCTGTCACAGAAGAATAGACCATTGAGAATGAACTTTAAAAACATTTATTCTCTTTTTATGTGACTGACCACACCTACATGATCCATTTTTTCAGAAGGAAAACATCTATTTGCATCTTCTTCAAAGATCAGCCCTATCATGGAAAGCAGCTTCGCCAGTGTAATAAAGCAGCCTTGTGTCCCAGTTACTGTAATGCCTTGTATTTGAGAAATGTTTATATTTTTTGTAGCTTTCCTGGCGCCCCGACTGTTGAGATATAAAACAAAACAAAAATTACATGTACATATGTTTTCACAGACCCTTCTAAATACTTTTCCGTAACAATTTTAACAGGAATTGTAGCCTCAGAATCTACAGTTTCCAACTCTCAGATGTAAAATGTCAAGCGTCAGTGCACAGCTGTTTTCAGATGTGTTCAAGGATCTTAGTTGATATTTAAGTCTGGGGTCAGGATGGGCCACTTAAGGACATTCTTGTTACCCCAAAGGCCATTATTTTTGGAAGGTGACTTTTAGGAAGGTGTCCCTTCGTACCTAAATGGTGAAACTGTGACGTGTGAAAGAACGTTTCACATTTATGAACTTGTCTTTTACAAAAAGGGAAGTAAGATTATGTTTGTATTTATGCAAAACACTGTACCAGAGCTCTCCGACGTCGAGGCCAACAACACAGTGGCCCATGCAAATATGAAACTTTTCATGGGCTTAAAAGTTGCTTTACACAAAGGAATAAAACTTAATACAAATTCAGGTTAGAAGGAAGCGTCATGATACATGGTAATAAATTCTCGTAGGGTTTTTTTTCTAGTATTTCCTGATAATGGTCAATACTTTTCAATGTAATATTTCTCTGTATTCAGCAAGACAATCTGGCGCTCGGTATTTGAGGGAGCTTTTTCCTAGATCTTTAAGGTTCTTTTGACCATTTTGAGTTCTCAGATGATAGACATACAAAAGCATATAGTGAGAATATAGACTGAAACTCAACTACATGTTGTGATCCCATGTTGACTGGACTTTTAGTTAGTTATTTTCTCATTTTGATCATTTCTTTATTGTTTTTATTTATTGCCACATTAGTTTATTCCTTGTCTCAGTTCTGTTTGTTTATTTGTTTCTATTTTGCGTATTTGGATTTGTGTCTTTCTGTGCAATATGATGGGATCAATGTCTTTTTTAGGGGCAGTATGAAGTGTTTTCCAGCCACATTGTGCCATTTTATAGCACAATCTAGTAACTATGTTTCCTTCAGTTGTCATAAAAATGTTTAAATCAAATATGACTTAAAAGAAATTTGACCTTGTACATAGTGATAAATATAAACCATAAATTTGTCATGACTTTTAAATCCCATTTAATTTTACAGCTTATTATTATAGCTTTAGTGAACGATAACATAATGTTTGCATTGAAGTACTTCCCTCCACAAATTGCCCAACATATAAGAAGAGAACAAGCTCTGAATTTACAAAATGTGATAAAAATATATGCAGGAGTTGCTCATCGTGTAATTTGACTTGATAAACCTCCACCACAACTGGGAGCTTATTATGTTTAGCTGTCATCATTACAGTTGTTATGAAAAGAGACTTTATCTCTGCAGAATTAATACAAATACAAATTCCCTGTTAAAAATGTGAATTCAAACTATTATTATTGTTTTTTTTAAACATGTTAACATATCAGGTATCCCAAAACATTTCACTTATGTACATTAACAAACCCAAAACAACATAAATATACAGTATTACTATGACTAAAAAAATGTCTTTTGAGGAAGATAAATAAATTGTGACATGTTGATATTTACCAACATTCTTTGAACAGATAATTACATGAAATACTATTAGAAAGTGTCAGTGCTGGAAATACTGAGGTTGTGACTCTGGAGCCCTCGTGTGTTGAACATTAGTTCATCAATGGTCCCACAGCTGGTCTATTCAGGCAAGACTGTGAACCAGACTTTGAAGTGAAACGGTTAAAGAATTTCATAGCACCACTTTGATAATGGTCCTTTGATTAATTTAAAGTACTTCCCTACACCACTGACATGAACTGCTTGTGTTTACAGTATATATAAATAAATGCTTTTATGTTTCTACACATTGATTCATAGTTTATTGTGACTGTAGGAGGTTCATCTGTAAAACTCAGATATTGAAATGTCACATCAATTTCTCCTTATTCTGTGTTAAAGAAAAAGATAAATAATTTCTTGCTTCCAGTGTTTTTATTGTCATTTCTTGTAGCAAACAATTCATGGTAAACAAAGAAATTAGCATTTTGATTACATTCACAGCACTCACCACGGTCTGGAAAACTGACCTGATAAGCTGCGGAGCTTGATTTGTCTAAGTGTGTTGAAGATAAAATTTTAAAAAATCCAGTCTCATCACATCGTGATATTAAAGTTCTCTGATTTCTGTGCTTCAGGCTGTGCTTTCATGCAGGTGGCGTCAGAGTCATGGCAGCAGCATGAACTGTGAATGCTGCGATGCTGATTTGTCGCTTAACTTCCCGCCAGGCCTTCTCTGGGTCAGCTGAGTTCTCAATGTCAAACAGTGCGTCGTATATCCCAGGAAAAGACTCCCCTGCATATTTGTTATGGCTGCTGGGAGCGAAAATCACATGCCTGAAACACAGAGTAGAGACGGGGGAGAAAAGACAGCATTGTGTTACAGGAGCCGAGATACACAAACATATTAGTGTATTCATTGAAAACATACTTAAATTAGACAGGAGAAAAGCTGCTGATCCTCTGTGTATGAATTTATGGAAGGCTATGTTTGCAAAAACCCAAACTAAAGAAAACATTAAAGAAATATGTACGATGTGAGGGTTTTCTTTGGAAGCAGCAACAGTTAAAATTACTTAATTGTCGAGTGTAGCACAAGGATTATTTAAAATAATTATTGAAATAACTCAATAAATCAACTTTGCACCTGAAAAAGCTGGTAAGTTGATCCACTCAATGTTTTTTAAAATTTGTATTTTTGAGCCAGTTTGTTGTAGATCAAAGTCATATGAAAATAGGTCAAATGAAAATAATAATATGTAAAAATGAATGTTTTAGATTTAAAATGTTTTAAAGCCCTCTCTGTAAATGTCAAACATTTCGTCATGCAATCAGTGTCCTGATTTTCATTCCTACTGACGAACACTCTCATCTAAAACTTTGTCTGGCAGATTAAACCGGGGCTCTTCTCTGCAAGAAAAATACAAGAAAAAATGGAGCAAACATATAAAAAACCCAAAACCATTCTCATGCACAATGGTAAGAAATAGTCAGAGTAATTAAGACTTGTATTTATTCCGTAGTAGTGTTGTCTAAGTGTGAAGAGCATGAACCTGTAAAAGGGTCTCCCTGGCAGGCCGAGAGGGTCGATGAAGGCTCTCTCAAGGTACATGAGTTGGTCATTTATGATTCGCACCTGTAAAGGACTAAAACAAAATACCATTGCACTGGTATTACTGTTGAAAGGAACAACAGTTTCTATGTTTGCACAAATTATTTATTATTTATTGTTATTTTCTGTTCAACCACAGATGTAAAAGGTTTCTTACTCCTCTATGTTGAGAGTCTGCAGACGCTCATGGAAACCTTTAGCTGCATTCGTAAAGTTCTCCACTGCAGAAAACAGCGACTCTAGAAATAAAAATATGAAAAGCTCAAGAAATATTTAACTCCAGCTGCAAAAATACATCATCATCTTGCGGTCAGCAGTAGAGCCTAAACAATATCAACAGGTAAAGGTGAACATGAGCTCACCGAATGACACATTGTGCGTCTCCATTAGTTCTGTGTGTGTCTGTGCCAGACGCGCGATGCTGTCTGCGTACTTCCTCAGGGAGTCTGCGTACTCATTAGCATTGAGAGGAAGCACCTGGGAATCTGCCAACAGGAAGATCAGCCCTCCTCTCACTTGAGCCACCGCCCGGAGCCTCCTGAAGGTTGGGTCGTAAAACTTCTCCACTATCTCAAAGGTTTCATACACACTGTGATAGACAGGGTAGCTACTGTATCGCTCTGTCTTCTGAATGGACACACAGACATACAGAGAACAGGACGTTTCAATTAGTTCTCAATACAATTATCTTCTATAGATCAGAGCCAAACTGTAGTGCAAGGCTATTCTTAAATATAACTAACTATTAGAAATTTGCTAAATTTTTAAAGTTGCCACGTCAAAGAGATTTTTCATTGCAGCTTCAGCAGAGTAAGAAAAGATTAGAAAGCGCTACGTCAGTCAAACCAAACACACCTCTACAGGTTCGCACTTTATGAATTTACAATACACAACGTGGCAGAAGATTGTTGAATATGTTGGACATGTATGCAGATCCAGCGCTCTGAGGAGTCTCACCTTGTTCTTCGTGTATCTGGCTCTGCCTGCCGCGATTCCCAGCCGGATAAAATAGGCCTCAAAATCACTGCCTGACCCAAGTTTACTGATCCTGAATCAAACCAGGAAGGAAGACATACTGACTTAGTGAGTTTTGGATTTATGTATATTTCCTTCCAAATAATTAGCTAAGAATAGACAACATGTTTTAAATAGTTGCCTATTTTTCATCTGAGAAGTTATAAATTTAATAGTTTGCAACTGGCATCACATTTACTTCTTTTCTTGTAAAATCTCACTTCATTGTTTTTCCGTTGATCTTAATGTAGATTACATTATTTCATTTCTCCATCTGGAAGCATTCGAAACATGAACTTTTACAACAGTCTTTGGTGCAATAAAAGCTGTGAAGACTTATGACAGCTGGTTAAAAATTAATCAAATTATATGTTAGCGACTCTTGGAAAACAAGAAGCAAAATCTTCTTATCTGGCTAAACAAGACTTTACAAAGCGTTTAAAAGTACTTTGAAAAAATACAACGTAACAAAAAAAAAGGGATACATGAGAAAAGTCAAACACAAAAAAGATCATTGTTACTACTGACCAGCCTCACATGGTCAGATAGTGATGATTGCATCATCATTTCATTTTGTCAGAGAGATTGGAGGAGACTATCCAACACTGAGGAAATTGAAATCTGCTGTTTTAAGAAATGCCTTAGAATTTTGAATCAAAACTCTATAAAGTTCACAAAACACGAATGATATTAAGAAACAAAAACTTGAGGTCTGTCATCTGAATTGATTGGCCACAGCCTAAGTCTTCATGCAACCTTAAGGAAAAACATTTCTGAAAATAACATTAGAGAAACATATAAAATCCACAGGCAGAGGCTAATACCAAAAATATAGGAGCATTTGTTTTTTTACCTTAATTGAACCAGTAGGTGGCACTATTTTATGCTGCAGTTTGAACATACACTCAGTATAAGTGTGGAACTTTCTCACTGGTTGGAAACAACAATTATTTACCGCTGCGCTTCTGTGTAAGCTGCATTATGAAAACAGTAAATGTATGGTAACAAATGAAGGTTTTTAGATTTGGAGGAAACACATTATACCCTACTATTTCAAATCAGGCAGAGAGAAATTTGGACTATCTTTGTTAACAAATATATAAACATTTAGAGAATGGTTTTCTTTCTTCACTTGTTTGCATATTAGTTTGTAATTATTTATATAAAGGTTTTATACCGGGGAGCATCACGGTCATTTGTCCAGTTGTCCCTCTTATGCCAGCTCTCGTACAGAGAGACTCCCTCCTCTCCTTCCTCTGGACTTGATATCTATACAGAAATGTGGACAGAGAATCAAACCTGGACAAGATTTAAAAAACAAAACAAGAAGATGGGACATTTAAACGGATTTTGGACAAACGTTTATACACTTCCATCATGGAAACTGTTCCTTTTTGAAGGCTTAGACATTATAAAAACAACCAACTTCAATGCATTTTAGAAGCATAAAATTGTACTTTAAAAAAAAAAAATCTAATATTCAAATGTTTCTCTGTTTGTTTTAGTTAAAAGAACCTCAACAAGCTGTGGCTTGATAATAGCTTTTCAGCCTCCACTGTCCTATTATAATTGTGACTGTGTAGTTGATACCCAAGAAGGATATGAATGATATTAATGAACCTCATAAGTGAACATGTACCAGAACCACATGTATCAGACAGGGTGTGCTCACCTGCTTGGTGAGGTCGTAGACTAACGTGTGCAGAGACGGAGTGCAGTCAACCCTCAGCGTGTACATACCTGGGATTTTAACAGACAAATTAAAGCCAATCAAATCCACTATTTCTGACGGAGAGGACAAAGTCGGGCTCTGTTTTGTTCACCTTCTATGGCAGAGTCTGCATTGATGTAGGCCACAGCTCTCTCCTGCAGCAGCCTGGCATTGTCCTGTTGGGATCGATGAGGTTCAATCAGTGCGTCTACGTGTCAATAAGCCTGCATACATGATTGCTTCTGTGGTACCTCGGCCCATTCTGTCGATCCCAAAAGACCAAACTCTTCTGCATCCCAGCTGGCGAATATCACCGTCCTCCTCGGCCTCCAACCTAAACCACGATCAGACAGAGATGCCGAAAAACTGATTACTGAATCTGTCATTGTCCGTTTTACTCATTTGAGAAGTTGCACCTTTTTTGAGCAGCCTGCCAGCACCCCTCACTGTTTCATGAACCACTGCTGCTCCAGACATCGGGTCAATTCCTCCAAACACCCAGGCGTCCCGGTGCCCTCCCAGGATCACATATCTGTCTAGAAAACAGCAATTCAATCCTCACCTTCTTAGAGTTACTGCCTTTTATGCCAAAAAGGATTTTCATTTTGCTTAAAACATCTTTCGACTACAAAACGTGGTTAAGTTTTTAAGTTTTTCACAATCACTTTTGCAAAAAAATATTATTTAGGCCCTTATTTTTAGGAATGTAACGATTCGATTTTAATAAACCGCTTTGTAATTTTTAATAATAGGCACAAAACTAGCCTGTCTATGACCCTACCTGCAGGGATCAGACTATTCTGGTTGCAACCAGGTGTAATAATAGACAGCAGGTATGTTTCATGAGTTGACTTTAAATAAATAGGTACCTGGCTCCAAAGCTCCTCTGATCTTTCCAATGACGTTGTAGATCCTGGTTACCTGGTTGTTGCTGTAGATGTTCATTCGTACCTTTCTGCAGCAAAACAGGATCCAAACAAAGATGAGAAATAAACACCAAAAGGAGCCAATGTCAAATTTAGCTCAACATTAAATGACTGCTGCAAGAAAAAACATTTATTCTAGTTTCTAAGAGTGTTTGCTGTGCAGCATGCTGTTTCCATGCAGGGTTATGTGTGAAAATGAATGTGTCACAGACAGGAGGCACAAGAGGCCTCATTGTGCTTCCACTGGCTGCTTGCCACCAAAGGGTCACAGGTTTGGAAGAGAGCAACAAGAAAAAAAGGACAAGGCGAGGCACCTAATAAATCAAAACAGAGTGAAGACCGAACTGAAGTGGCAGAAGGACAGTTTAACAGAAGAGATGTTGATTTTAACAAATGAGGGAGTGTGACTATCACCTTATTGCAGAATGCTAACTTTGGCATCAGGAACACTTACTGGCTCTTGAAGTCTTCTGTGAAGCCCGGTCCAGTCTTATAGGAGACATTCAGAGCTCCTTTCCAGTTGTTGGGTGGAATCTGTCCCCCCATGTTTCTGTTATATTTCAAATACATCGTAAACATTTCACACAATTAACAGCAAATATGGAAACAGTACTTTGCATGTTAGATGATAATTTGGAGACATATCATTGTCAACATCTAGTAGAGAAAGCATGTACTTTAAGAGGTGAATTGCGTCGTGGAAGCCGATTGGATGAACTGGAATCTTGGGAAGTCCGACTCCTTCCTCCGGGTTGAGTCTGTAGGTGTATTCTGGACGGAAACACACAGGTGTGACAAACTGTCTTATCTACTTTTCTTTGCTAATACATCCATAACCTTTTGTCAGTTTAAATTGATGGGAAAGCTTTTATGATTTTCCATTCATCAGCTCATTTAGGTCCCTTTGACTAAGCCATTTGAACACATGGAAATGCTTTGACCTAAACTCTTTTTGCAGCTCTGTCTGTGTTCAGGCTAGCTCTCTTGCTAAAACATAAACCTCAGCTGTAACCTCAAGTCCTCTCCAAGCTTTCTACCCAGGGTTCATTTTTTAAGGTTTAATCCATTGATTAATCCTATTGATAAAGACCTGATCTCCACAGCATTATCCAGACACCTCCATGTTTTATGGTGAAGGGTTGTGTTCAGGTTCAGGTTTATGCTTTGTGCTTTTCAACCACTTAAATAATTTTGTTTGCAGTTTATAAAACACAAATAGGTCATATCTAAACAGACAATGTTTAGGTGAGCTGTAGAATAACATGCCTGTTAAGCCAAAGCATAACAAGCGCTTTAGAATAACATCTGTGCTGTTATTCCACTGGCGTGCAGCGAGTATGAAATTCTTGTGGCTTTCTCTGTGACTGTGACAAAATATGGAAAAGTTCAAGGGACATCAACACTTTTGCTAAACATTTTATGCCCTCATGCAGGCTATAGAAAGTTTAATTTATTTTTTTTAACGCACCTTTAGCTGGGTATCCTGGTGTGAGGGGATCTCCTGCGCCATTCAGGTTGAGAACATTTCCTCTCTGAGCTCCTCCACCAGGCAGGTTCCAGCCGTCAGGGTACGGCTGCACAAAGCCATGGTCAGCGACAGAAATTGTCTTGTGTCTATTTCCCACCACTCACAATGTTCCAGATGGTAAAAAACTAGGAATGAATGCTACATTTCTTACTTTTTTTTAGCCTGGAATGTGTTTTTTAATTATTTTTTTAAACTTTGTATCAGGTTACCTTGACTCCTGCAGCCCAATAATCAGCAGGATCAGAGAACATAATGACTCCCTTTGCTCCTGCTGACATGGCGTTCTTCACCTTTGAGACAAAATGAGCACAAGAGAAAATGCTTATTAATGTTGGTCATGTCATGAGAACCGACAAGGCGAATGAAATGTTCAGAGACAAAAGTGCAAGGTGAGTCCGCTGATCACATCTTTAAATACCTTATTGCCTCTGAATATTTTCCCATATCTGACTATTACAATCTTCCCTGTCACACTGATGTTCATCTCTCTCTCCAACTGGAAAAAGTCCTCTGTTCGACCGTAGTTCACGTACACCAAGTCTCCCTGGAGGAACATGAAATAAAGATTTAGCTGCACTGCTTTCTGCTTCATCGTGAATGTGTCTGAGTGGATCTGAATGCACCTCTGGATGTCCCTTGGGAGAGTAAGCGCTGTACGGAGGCACAATGTTGCCGACGTCCTCATAGCCGTGTGGAACTGGTTCAGCCAAGCTGGTGTTGAAGACCTGACATAGTGAGACCAGAATGACATGAAGATGAATAATTGAATCTGTTGCCAGCTTTTTGAAGTTCCTTGCGCTTCATATTATCATTATTTTTGGATTTGACAAGAAACATTTGACACAACAAACCTGTAAAGATACAATCAGTTACACAGTAATACAATCTGATGCAACACGGTCAAACAAAAATATGATGCAACACATTGTGTGCTTTTGACTCATTTTGACTTTGATGCAATAACAATCTAATACAATTTGATACAAAGCAACACTACATAATACATTACATAATTTCATGCAATACATGCATGATACAATATAAAAATAAATAGGGATGCAGTTAAATATTGTCTTAGGAGCCAATTTTCTGATGATTAGTAATCGTAATCAAGTAATGAGATAAAAACAACTGCAGATATCTTATTTTAGTCACTGAGTTTAGTTCACACAATGCCAAAAATACAAATAAATGGTTAATTTATTTTTTAAAATAAGAAAATATACATTTTATTGCCTAAAATGCAATGACATAGCATTGCTTTATCATTTGTAGAAAAGGATGCATTTGCAGCTAAATGTACTTCTAATAATGCATGTAGATTGCATATACAGACAAATAAAGGGTTTCATCTTAAATGCAAAATGTGTATATTATGCTACAGTTTTGCCTTAGTTACTGTTCATGATTAATGTAAGGAATTGTTGCAGCCCTGCTTTACTAAGTTGTTTAATGTGCAAAGATTCAGTACAATGAACTTTATAGTCTCCAAGTAAATATACATTTTGAACTCCACTGTCCAAAACATCACACAAATAAAGGACACTGGTATTTGTACTTTGATTCACATACACAAATTAAATGAATGAGTTTTTTTTATGATTCTCCATTTTGTTAATCGCAACAAACATAGCAATAATAAAAAATGATTTCTAACAGCAGAACCAACTTATAACAAATATATAATCAAAATAATTTTAGTTTGCTTTTACATAGAATTATTAATTTACTAATTTCAGGAGATAATAAGCAGACCAACTTATTTAGACAATATTTTTTAAGTTTACTGGGTTTGTGGTTGCATTTTTTTGTTCACTTGGTTACTCTATTTTCACTCTGTCTTTGTGTTTTCCCTTGTGTGTTTTTAGCGTCACTTGTGTTCAATTAGTCAATCAGTTCTGGTATATTTTTGGACCTAATTTTATGTTCAGCTGTTGGGTCATGAGAGTTCATTTAACTAAATTTCACTGTCCATTTTGTCTCATTTGCATCTGACTAGAAGGCTTGTTGTTTTTCTGTTTTATTCACAATTTTCTACATTGTTTGTAAATACAATGATTCCAGCTATTAGTGAGGGAAAGTAATTACTCCTGGCGTGAAAACATAAGTAAACTGTGATTAATATGATTAATCATACTGACTAAAGTGAAATGTTGATAGTGTGATGGTCTGCTTTGCTGCATCAGGCATCTACATCATCTACATTGATGTTATGGGAAAACGCTTGGTGGCAATTGTTGCTGTTATTCGATTTAGAGGCAAATCACTTTAGTTATTTTTCCTTCAAAATGAAATGCCACTTTAAATTTACATTTTAAAAGAAATATAGATCTAAGAACAAATTTTACAGCACTGCAGCTGTAAATTTTTGATTGTGGACATGATTGTTGTCCAGCTGGACGTTTGTCGGCTGAAACAAATTATCTTGTATGTAAATCCAAATTTTGTCAAAATTCCTTAATGCGTCCCTGCACGCAGCAACAACAGTCACAGTTCTTTGTTGTTTTTGTGCTGTTTCATTGTCTGTGTCATGAGACACAAGCAGAGGTTTATCTCACAGTGAAACTATAAAAGGACCTTGGACCTGAGCGAAAACTTGCAGAGGGAAGGAGGAGAAACTGCCTGGAGTGGTATGTGATCTCCACATGCTCTTCACTAACACACTCAGAGGTAGGTTTTGGATTGAATTAGCCTTATCATTGAAAATTTGTGAGAAAATCTACATCTTTTCACCCTATAAATGAAGTGACTGTAGAGAATCTTCCTTCACAGTGCTAAAAACAGCAAATTAGGTTCGTTACACTAAATGTTTTCCAGTCATGCACAAGGAATGCTGTCAAATTAGTTTGTAAATGTGAGCGCCAGACATAGGGAAGGTTATTCTGAATGCAAAATGCAAGAAAACAAATGCAGTCTTCTGCTATACAAGTCAGTCTTGCTGCACATCTTGCTGACAGCTTCCTTACCTCTTTCCCATTGTGATCCACTACGGAGATGTAGTTTGGCTGTGATTTATTGGGATAGGACAGCAGGATGTCATAGGGCACCAACTCCACTGAGTCCAATCCAAAGTCCTGCCACTCCTTCATGATCTCCTCTGCATATTTCAGGTTCTGCTCCGTTCCAGCCAGATGGGGGAGACGGGTGAACTTCCTGCAAAGAGGACAGTAACTGTGACACTCGTGGTCTTAAGGCTCATGTCAGCTGTTCTTTCATATCTGATTTTGAACTTGGTCTCCGAGTTGTGTCTTTCTCTGCCTGTTGGTACTGTGCAGGACGGAACGAAATTAGAAGCCGGCGCATTCCTTTAATTCTTGAGGCGCAGAGGCAGTTTTGAAAATAATCGTTTGAAATTGGTTTTTTGTTTACCGGAGGTGGTCTCTGATCAGGTCTGACCGCATTTCATCCAAAAACTCCAGCAGGTATTTGCTTGAGGTCTTGTGGTTGTTTGCAGGTACCTTTGAACGCTTTGCGAACCACCCTAAAACACAAAACGTACAAAGCATTCAGTCGGGATGTTTGAAAAATTAGCAGTTTTCATGTAGATAAATAATTATTTATTATGACTAGCTACTTTGAAGATAACAGTAAAACAATAAAAAAAAAAAAAAAAAAGGTTCAGATTATTCACATCCTTCCATCTCAAAAGGAAACAAAAAAAATTAAAAGTACAAACTTCTGCTTTTACTCTGATTTTAATAGGTCATAAAGAAGATTATTTCGCTTTCAGGCTTTTATCTTCCAGTGAACACTTCAAACACTGGTAGCTTGGCTAATTGTTGCTAGCATTACATTTTCCAGTGAAAACACATTGAACAGTACATTAGCGATTCAGTGAAATAGATAGTGGCAAAGGACAAAGTAAAACATTTCAATAAATAGATCATAAATAACGCCACCACTGCTACTTTTCTAACTTCCTGCAGCAGTTTGCTGCCCTGCAGTCCTAACTTAATAAGCTCGAGCTTGCTTTAAGTTTAATCTTTATGTTTGATATCTAACGTACACAACACTGCTACAGATAACTCCGTTGGTATCTTTCCAAAGATTGCTACAATGCCACAGTGATTCATTGTTTGAGTTTGCTTGTGTTTCATTGGGAGTTAAGTTGCTCAATCCTTCAAAGTGGGGGATGGTCACATGTATTTTGGTCAAATTTTCTGCTGCGGACAATTACGAGCCTTAGCCAGCCTTATATTTTTAACACAGCTGTGGTTATAGGCAGTGAGTGTTACCCTGCTGTTAGCGCTGAGATACTGAATGAGTCAAAGTGGTGACAGTCACACTGGGGATAAACAGCATCACAAATCCTACACAAAACATAACATCTTCGTATCAAGATTGTTAATGCAATTACAGTGGTTACTGAGCAAAGACCATGTGATTAAGCTAAATGTCTCTGTAATACTGACATTGAGTCAAAAGCAAACAGCCCCAAACATACGCTGCGTTTCTGTGCCTCACCAATGCAGAAGCCCAGCAGGAACAAAGCTGTCACAACCACAGTCCACCAGATCCAACGAACCAACCTGCTCTCCCTCTTCATTTCCAAGCAGCTCTACGGCCCTGAGATCCACACGGCGCTGGCTCTGCAGAGGCTCAGATAAAGAGAGTAATTTGCTTAGAAGTGCACAGTGGGAGAAAGGCAGAGTGAGATGGAGTGAGGCAAAGCGAGCAGGGAGGAGCTGAAAGTCTGTCTGTTAGAGGCGGTGAAAGAGAAGTTGGGAGAGGGAGCTCATTAGTGCTGTTCTTTGTTAGGGCATTTGATGTGCACCTTGGCCATTCATGTGCTGACTCAGGATTTGTCAGTATGAGCACACAGGGCCACTCTGAGGAGGCTTTCTAATATCAGGACATGCAATACTTTCAAATTAGGGAAGGAGAGGAGAGACTCCCGACAAGATTAACTTGACTCATGTTCCTCTTGAGGAAGTGTTGCAGAACTAACTGTAAAGTTCAAAAAGTTGCAGAAAAGACCATAGGAAGAAAAAAAAAGCCAGATTAAATGTATTTTAAGATCTTAAACAATAAAAAACCTTATTTTTAAAATGGATAAAAAAAATAACCAAAATTTGGTTTGAGTATTTCTGGAAAAATAGAAATTTTCATCTTTAAAGTCAGCCTAACTCGCAATGAGAACTTGGTTTGCAGCAATTTCTGTTAGGGTTCACTTGAAGATTTATGCTGGACCTCTCGTGCACGCTGCTGTCAGAGTGTTGGTTTCCCACACTGCAGCATGTGTCCTCCGTTGTTCTGCTGCAGCCTCTCCTGGGTCTTCGAACAGCTGTGTGCTGTGAAGGACCTCCCTTTCATCTGATGGACCGGTGCGTGAATTGGTGAGGCTCTGCTCCCAGGAATGCGGGAAGTCAACACAGGTCACAGCTATACTTGTCCTCTGGGTGCTTCTTATCTGAGGCTTTTATTGAAACCGCTGCTTTACATTGTGTGGAATGGCTGATTTTATTCCACTTCAACGGTTTTTGAGCCAAGCCTTTGCTACTGTTGGAAATACAGCAGTTGACTATTTACTCTCAGGTAGCGAGTTCATTCAAGCACAGTTTCCAGAGTGTGTGACATCACAGTTTATGTTTGTATGCATGCAGTAAAACATAACAGGATGGCAGTTTGTTATGGTGAAATTACTCACTATGTCTTTTCAAGAATTTTTATAATCACTATAAAAACAGATTAAAATGCTATTTGACTGAATCATAAAAAAGCACATGTGCTCAGTGAGGATCCTTGCTGATCTGTAAGTCAGTTACTGTCACTGTGATCAGTTTTCTGCAGACGCATCCTGGTTTTTCACGGCAGCCTGTGAAAAACCGTCTCTGCACGCTTGATTTCATAAGAATAGTCTCTTGAAGGCCCCTTTAGAGTTTTTTGCAATCACTTTGGTGCATTTCTTGAATAATCCTTGACAGTTGCAAAGCAGCAAATGCATTTTCAAAACAATCAGTACAAACAGCAAAATATTGATTACCTACAAAAGCCAGTCTTTTCCTCAAAATCCTTAATAGTTAATGAACATGTCAGTGCCAGATGTTACATTACATAGTGACAACATGTTTTGTCATGCTGTCAATATAACTCTTCAGGGATTTTCTGTTGTAAACATTTTCTAAAGTTTTTTGACAAGAATAAGCTATAATTGTGGGAGCTCAATGGCAAGAGACTAGACAAGATTCATAACACAATTTGTTGGGAAATTACAATGAATCACATATTGTGATACAGAAATGAACAGACATCACTGCAGAGGACAAAGGAAAAAAACAAGTAAGGAAAAAACGGGAATATAAGAATTTAAGGAAATTTGTACATGCAGTTCTGTAGAAAATAAAGTAAATCTTCCAGCTTTCTTTCTTTTACAGAGATAATTTAGTCAGTGGGGTTAAGAATGAGGAGTAGAGTGAAAAGAACTCCATAAGCATCTTGTTATGGGTCACAAATCATTACCTATTCCTTCATCGCAACCTCACTCCTCTTCCTCCTCATGCTGCCTGTTGACCTTGTCCAAATCCTTGTCCTTCCATGGTCAGAAATGAAATGGTTGATCTAGTGATTCACCCTTTACCTTCTGTGGAGAAACTCTGGATTCACCTGAGAGTGATTTACCAAATCAGGGCAGCTTTGGACAAAAACCGTCTGATGGAACATATGATGACATATTATTACAAGTCCCAGTGATTTTCTGCCTGATAAAAATATAAAGCAATGAATCAACTATTGTCATTTCTGTTTGACATCAAAATAGCCTGAGGGGCCACTCCTCCCCCTCAAAATGAACGGTTTTAATAAACTGTTAGAGCCCCAAATCAGCAAGGACTTCATGTCCATGATGGATGTTTATATGACCAAAATCGTAAATAAACATTTTGGTCTGTGGCTCCCTCTTGTGGCGGAAAGAAGAGGTGAGGAGCAATGAAGCGACGTTCATTGTTCTGCCTGCTGATTAACTTTGTCAGTTTCTGAATTGAGTAGTTTCTCATTTTAATTTTCTCATCCTTGTTGCTCAGTCGTGCAGAAAGATAAACTGAGATCATGATGTGCAGAGGCGGCAGTGTGGGGGTTTCAGCCGCTGGGAGTTTTTTTTTTTTATAGAGAGAGGGGGATGAAAAGTCACAACGCGTTCAGAGCGGGGAGGAGGGGAGGGGGCAGAGCACGGTCTGTCCGTATCGGAGCAGACACCGGTCAGACAGACACAGACAGAGCTGCAGGCAGGACCGAACTCCGACCTCTTCACCGGACCGGAGCCGTTCGGGAAAACCTGGGGCAGCTCCAGCAGGCAGCGGCGGAGACCCTGAAGGCACCATGGCTGTGTCGCTGCGGAGCTGGGCCGCCAACGAGGGAGGGAAGCACTTGGTCCTGGTGGGGGAACCTTTGGGACAAACTTTTAAAACAAATGTCTGTTCTTCTGCTTGTCTTTTGATTTGCATGGCTGATGTTCACTTTTAGATGCGTTTCTTGTCCAGCTGGTGGACAAAACCATAGTGATTGTGATTCATCATGTGTCCTTTACTTGTCACATAACATTTAGAGCATCAATGAGGCAAAACAGTCAGGACGAGTCATTTTCTAAGAAGCGCTGCCATCATCATTTTCTTTCTGAAAGTGAATTTAAGATAATAATGTAAGTATAAACTCTATGTAATCTGTGCATTATGTGTGCCTAGATGCTGTGGCTGGGAGCAAACGCCTGGCTGTTCCTCAACACTTTCCTGCGGTTCTCAACAGGGCAGCAGTACCACTACCTCTACAAGATGCTGGGGGTGAGAAACGCACCGTGACGGATTGTGGTAGTACATGAGATTTTTGAAATGATCTTTTTGAAACGAGTCACTACAGTTATTTAATCTAAGCCCAGCAAGCTGAATCACAAAAGTTGCAGTCTGTTGGACTGCAACAGAGAAGATGGAAGCATTTAGACACAGAGGTTTGAGTGTGATGATGTGGAGGCTGCATGAAATACAAAAGCCTTTTGTGGCTGATTTACTTTTGATAGACCGAAATGCTCAATGGTGAGGCGACTTCTGATGTCAATGCTTTCTCTGTGTGCCATTTGGGTTTAATATGATAGATCATCTTTGGCTTAGTTTTCACGAGAGCAACAAAGAATATAGAAAAATAGACCCTTAAGTTATTTTATCCAGATCCAGAATTAAATTAATGTAAAAAAAAAAGTTGCTTTTGTCCCCTGGTTTAATTTTGCCTTTGACTTTTCCACATTTGGTTATTTTACAATCACAAAATTTAATAGATTTTATTAGGACCTTTATAAATTACATGATAAAAATATAGACCTATGCCGAGGTTTCAACATCTTTTGTTGTAGAATGGCGCAATTGCTAATTGACCAACAGTGTGACTTTCCACCTCAACTCACAAACATTAGGTGAACATGATTCAGAGAAGCAGTCAGGATGCCTGTGATTACTCTGGAGGAGCTGCAGGGATTAAAGCTCTGGGGGGGGGAAATCTGTTGACAGGACGACAGTTGGTGGTATTGTGTAAGTCTGTTTTTGTAAACGAGAAACTAAAAAGTTATCAAATGGAGACACGGTAAACATGTGGAAGAAGTTCTTCTGGTCGGATGGTATACAGGCAAAATTTTACGTTTAGGGAAAAAGCAGCACTGTGCATCTCAAAGTGTTAAAACATGCTGTGTGGAAGGGTTTGGAACTACTTGCACATAAATCCTGTATGTACCTAGTGTGACTTTAGTTTGCATCCATTTATTTCTCACAAAATGAGAGCTGAAATACCGATTTCATTTTTACATGTATTTCACGACCAGTAATGTTTGCACTAAGACTGGATCTATGAAAAGGCTATGTTGCTAATGAGAAACCGTAAATATTTAGAATATTTGTAAATGTCAGTTTTCAAACCATCAGAAAGGCAGCACAGTTGTAGAAAACCTACACAGAGTAAAGTGCATTTCCTCAGAGCAACAAGAAGCAATGAGAAATGGCAGCAAACAGCATGTGTGAACTATTGCACTGCCTGTACAGTGGGAGGCAAAAGGGGAGAAAAGGGGCAAGTGTGGGCACGCCGCTTGTTCCACCGAATGCCTCACCGGAGGGCTTAAGTTTATGTCTATCTTTATGTGTTTGAGTGCGATGTGTTTCCAGAGCAGCAATACTTCAAATAGCCTCTTATTTTATTCACCTGCTAGGCAGGACTGTATGGGGCGTCAGAAAGGAAGGTATCGGATCTCCGTCTGGTGGTTTTTGACATCAGCTGCCTTTCTTTAAGAGGCTCTGCAGAGAGATTGTGTGTGTGCATCTGTTTGTGTATGTGTGTGTGTATGAAGTTTTTAAGAATTAAAGGATCAGGAAAGAGTTTGGGGAGGTTACCCTTAAGTTATATTTAGGTTCAAGCGTTGCTCTGTTCTCCACATCATTCTTACATTTCTACACCGACTTCAGTCAAGCTGTGCAGACAATTCTGATTCCTCATGTCCAACATGTGCTTTTTTCTACCACCAAACTTTTTCTCAATAGACTGCAGATTAGAGCTCTGGTTGTGCCTGTTTTTTTTAAAATTTTTTTAAGCAAACCTCCTTGACTTTGTCGGATGTCTTAGACCAGAACATCTTCACAGGATGGGTTCCAGTCTCGCTTTCTCGTTTTCTTTGATCTTCACAGCTTCGCCTTGTTCTCCACACACTCTTCAGTAAACTCAGAGATAACCAGAAGTGGCAGCACCTGCAGAGCACAAAGCTCCTAACAAACGTGCTGAGTTTATCAGATGCTGGAGTGCGCTCAGCGTTTCTGACTTTAATTTGATTATTGAGCTACAGACTGAGACGTATTGGGTTAGATTATCCGTCTTACTCACACATTACTCCAGCTGTGTTTCCCTGCATCACGTGTTGGTGTTCTGAGATGTTGCGCCTCATTTAACCTCCAAAGCATAGATAAGTTACTGTAAAATCTTTATGCTTGGCCCTGCAAAATTATGTTTACCGCTTCTATTTTATTTGGATTTTTCTTGTGATGCCCAAACACAAAGTCGAGTGTAATTATAAGCTGGGAGAAAAATGTTTTTCTTTGCCCAATATCTTGACATGCATTTGCATTGGCAGATGTATTGAAAATAAAATCAAGTTCACCAATTGCCTTCAGAGCTCAACCTTCTCTTGTGTGTAGTTTTATGTCGTTACAATGCATCTGTTCTGTGAAGTACAAACACCTTCAGTGTGTTTGTTGTGATGCTTAGAGCAGTTGGACCTGGAGCATCCCTCAGAGCACTGTTCAATCTATCATCTAAAAATGGGAGGATTTATGGCAGAATTGTAAATAAACTACGTGTCCGTCCACCTACACTGACAGGACGACCAAAGGGGTCATTACTCAAAAACCAGTCTGAGTAATGTAGTGGCAACTCTGGAGGAGCTGCAGAGATAGAGTTTGAAAAAAAGCTTATGTAGATGCAGGACAACAACCCTAAATGTACAGCTGGAGCAACAGTGGCGTGTCTATTAAGTCAAAGCCTAATTCAGAATATGTGTCATTGTTTGCCAAAATCTTCATAGAAACTATTTTTGCAAAGAAAAAAAGACAAACAAATCTGATCTTTGTAAAAGATGCTAATTATTGACTCGGGGAAGCTTAATACAGATGCACATTGAGTTTTATTTCTAAAAAAGAACAATGTATATTTGCATCACTTCATTGTGTTGGTACACAACACACAGTAAAATTTCAGTTTGTGTTTATAATCTGATGGTGAAACAAAAAAAAAAATCAAATTTCTGTCATTTCTGTCTTAATGAGACAAACTAGGACCAAACCTCCTTACTTGTGTCTTAGTCCTGGAGTTACTGATTCATACCAGTATGGTCTCAGCTGATTCACAACCTAATTATTAGTGGGCTCAGACCTCCACATTGTGAAAGACAAAGGTGGTTTGCTGTAAACCCCTGTGTTGCAGTCATGCCTCAGGCTCTCAGCTGCCTTTAATTACATAAGCCCCGTTTGTCTTACCGTGATCGCTTGTGTGTGTCTCCCTGAGGTCGGAGTGTGCATCAGTCGGGCATCTGCCTCTGTGCTCAACCTGAACTGCAGTTTGGTGCTGCTGACTATGTGCCGCTCTGCGCTCACCTTCATACGCGGAACGCACGTGGTAAGACTCACGCAGGAGATGAATGATTGCAGTCATAAGGGGATCAGAATTCAAATCTAAAATTGCAGTTGGTTTCTGAAGCACATCAAATGTCCTGGTAACCATTAGTTCTGGGCCTAGTCTTGTTTTCTTTCCACAGTGATTTTTGTTTGTGTTGCACAATAACGCAGGTATCGAGCAGGAAAACACGCCGGCTGCTGGACAAGAGCAAGACCTTTCATGTTGCATGTGGCATCGCTGTCTGCCTCTTCTCAGGTAAAAAGTCCACTCTTTCCCAGTGAGCGTTCCTTCATTCCTTACTGCATCTCTGCTATGTTCTGTGCGTATGTATAGTGTGCATAAATTGATCCATAGTGGTTTTGCATTTCTGGAAAACCATATGGGAGATTATTTCGTCTGTTTGTATTTTTTCTCTGCTCTTATGACATTGTGCGAGCCTCAGACAGCTGTGCATTTACCAGGATGCAGGTTTTTCAGACTTCTCCCTCTGACTCATCCATGTTTTGCTGCAGGGTTTTCTTTTTTTTTTTTTGAGAAGCTGGCATTAATTTATCTAGATCTTAAGCATAAACAGTGACTAAATTCAGCATTCTGAATTGAAAGCTGCCTGCTGTGAGGGTTTTCTCTGCTGTCTTGATTTTGTTTAAACATCTGTTGACTGAAGACAATTTGATTTTGGTAGATCTTTGTTGCAAAATGTAATGGATATGACTCAACTCTTGATAATTGTAAGATAATTTATAACTTAATGATAATTCAGTTAATAAAGGCAACATTTCTACTCTGGTATTGGATAATAGCTGCTTACATTATTAGATTAAAAACATAAAACTGGCATAAGAAACTAAAAACTTGTCAAAAAACATTTTAAAAGTGAAATGGACATAATTACTATGAGGTGAGCAAACTTCATTCTCGCCTTCCTCATGATGTATTACTCTTCCCTGAAAGCGGGTGATTCATGTGAGAAATATTTTAATCAGAATCAGACCTTATGCTCCAACATGCAGCCTCTAGAGTGTTTTGCATATGCTCTTCCTTTGCAGATTCAGGCAGATCTTTCAAACCCATTCAACCACTTTATGGGCTTCATGTTGGAATTATGAAGTTGAAAAGTTACATGTGGATTGCACATTTTTCATGCTTACTCAAGCTTAAATCGATTTCGGCAAGCGGCTGGGTGGAGTGATCCGCCGTCACCAAACTGGAAGTAAACATGGGGAGCTTGATCTATGAAGGAGAGCGGTTTATAGGGTTCAACCCAAAGCTGACACAGTTCTTTGGAGTTCTAGTGAAAAGTACAGCAAATTTGGTAAACCTGACTAAATTTAAAAAGAACATGCAGTATGTAACTTTTACAAAAAATATTTTTAACGTATTTGTTAAAGTTGTTGTGTCATGACAGTATGAGACAGCTTGTGAAAAAAAAGCTCCTCTGTCCTCTCCAAGTGCTTCCAGTGCTAACAACCAATCAGAGCCAGGAGGAGGGTCTTAGTCCTGTCAAACATTCTCATACACGTGCTGCTCCACCTCTCCCCCTCTTGTTCTCTGCTACTCTTTCTGAGAGTAGAGCTTGCCATGGATACTCAGACATGTTATCATGATAGTGGATAAATGGTTTTGCTTTAATGGTGAGTTGTTTCTGCACCAGTTCCACACTTAGCAGCTTGTACACAAGAATGATTGACAGCGCTAAGACCTAACTCATAGCTCTAAATGATTGTTTGTGATTGGGAGTGGTGCATTTCTTCAGATGGAAATAGCCAAACTTGGAGCAGGTGCAGGATCTCAATCTTTTCACAGATTATCTCATAACTCATGTGATGTAGATGTCACAAATTAGTCTCTGCACATACATATGTAATATAGAACTAATAATAATAAAAACAGCTTTGCAGTTAAAACAGTCACATGCCAACATAAATTACTGGCAGTTTTTTAAGTTCAGTAATTAAAGTAATTACTTAATTAATTAACAAATGTCAACGTCATGGAAGAAAACAGTGATTAGTGATGTGGCGACAATAATAAACTAAATTATTATGTTTTCAAACCCAAAACATTTAAAATGATGATCAAAACTCTTAATTGTTACTTACTATAATCATGCGGTTCCATAACTGCTGTGTTTCTTTTCGCTGACATGACGGGAAGCAGCTACTTGCATTCTGTTGAGCAGTGCAGTTTTTGCACCGTTGATTGTAACTGATATGTACGAAGATATTTATTACGTTTCAAGCTGTGTTTACACATATGTCTGACAGGTGAGAATGGTGTTGCTGATTCAGGAACTTTTATTTCTCAACAGTAGTCAAATGAAAATGGTTGGAATTTCCGGTTCAGGCGTACAAATTTAAGCAAAGTACCAGAAGAGAGTCTTTGAATGATATGACTTATTCTTAGGTCGTAAACATACATGCAAGGGAGCATTTCACTTCAAGCACAGTTAAAAGTAATATTCATAACAATTTATTCATTTACCAAAAATATTAATCCCACAGTGAGAATCAGAGCTGTACAATACATCAAGTTAACAAAATAACATAATTAGTCTGTTGGTTGGAGTCCTATATGTTTTTTAGTGGTGGCTGATGCTGAAGGACAAAAAAGTAAAGAAAGAAAAGAGCCACAGAAATACTGCTAATCAAGATTTGACATCATCATGGAAATATTCAGCAATAGGATCACAATTACACGTTTCCTGCTATCATGCAGCCCAACGTAGAAGTCAGTAAATGACTCACACGAGCTGTGCAGTACTGAATGTTTCTGTCTGAACAATTGACCTTTGACCTCCAGCTAACAATCGATGCTTCAAAAAAGTGAATCTGTTTTTTCTTCTTTTTTTTTTTTGCTGTTACATCATTTGTAAGCTTTTCCCTCAATCAAAACCATACACCTCTTCACTTATTGTAATAACACACACATTCACATAAGCTCTGTATTCTCAGTTGACAAATGACACTGTGGACAGAGAGTCAGCAGGATGGAGGAGAGACTGACTGTGAGAACAGACAGAAAGAGTGGGTGGAAGGCAGTGGGAGTGGGAGAGGATATAGGGGAGAGGAAAAGGGCCCTTGTGTGTCATGATTACAGTCTCTAATTCCATCAGCTGTTCAATGGCTGCGTACTTAGCCTGTGATGTCAGGAAGAAGTGTGTGTTTAAGCTGCTCGGCCTTTTTGCTGAATGGACCTCTAGCATTTCCTCTGATTGAGTTTTGAAGAGGGGAAAAAAAAATCCTACATGTGCAACTTGGTCCCATCACTAAAATATGTTTTATCTTTTATACTTTCTCTTCATCTGCAGTTGTGCACGTGTCGGCCCACATGGTAAATGTGGTCAACTTCAGTTCGAGGTACTCAGATGATTTTCCAGCTCTCAACTTGGCTCGCTACAGAGGAGAGGTAGAGTTACTTAAATGTGTAGATTCTGCACATTTGTTAAGCAATTAGCAAACACTATTTTTGACATGTTGATATCACTTCCTGGGTGAAGCCAATTTCCTCTTTTATGGGCTGTAGGTAAAATCTAAATATATTTTATTCTATCTTCTACATATGTAGTCGTAACAATAAATTCTTTTATCAAAATTTAGTGTGTGTTTTATTCCAGAACACATCAGTTTTTTTTCTATGTCATCATTTGAAAATAGATAACAGCTTGTGTCTTTTGGAAAACAAACAAAAACAAATTCTCTGTAATTTACTGTGATGTGAGATAGTTAAAGATTTTACTGCCAATATTTTCCAAAACGACAAAAAAAGAACTTCTGGTTCCTGAACATTTTTTTCTCTGGAAACGTAACTTTTCCAAACCTTTTTATCCACTTACGCTGTTTTTCTGTGTTTCCCTCATGAGGTGAGTAAACTGTGCCCAATCAGATAGATTATGCTCCTGATACAAATCAGGTTCTTGTGCAGGAGTGCTGCTGCGAGCTGGAGACAGAATCTTCTAGCTGCAATTTTTGGGGTAGATTTTTAACCTCCTCAGACAGATTTGGCCCTAGTTTGAGCACTGCAAATATTAGAGGGGGGAAAAAAATACCCCCGGAAAATTTCCAGTCAAGTCGTGCGATTTACTCATCGTGTGTCTCCACTTACATGTGTTGCAGCATTAAATCTGAAAGCAGATGTGCCTCAGCATGACATTTACATATGTGATCAAAGAATCAAGATATTGCTACACAACTTTTTACCCTATTTAAGGTATCTTCAGAAAAAATAATAATAAATATGAAAAATATTATTTGTAATATATAATTTAAATTGGTGAGTTATTGGTGTATTTAAGTCTAATTTACTTACTACATGTTTGTCAAAGCCAGTTTGATGTTTTTATTGTTTTAATTGAAGTCTACCTAGTTTAACTTGCACCCAGAGAAAGAAATGTAACTCTGACATTGAGTTTTGGAGTAAAGTCTGCAGACTGTCTTCTCCTCAAAGTGCTGATGTTGCTCTGTTGTAATTCAAGATGGCTCGCACAAGCATTAATGTAGATAACAGAATGATGAAGACTACAGACCCCTTTCATTTTTGTTTTATTCCCAGGACCCCAAGTGGATAATTTTAACAACAAGTAAGGAGAACAAATCTTTCTATTAAAGTTTGCCACCCAATGTCAAGGTGCTTTTGTCTCTCTCTTCTACTGTCTGTGTTTCTCTTTTATTCTTATGTCGTTTTGTTGCATGACTTTACCATGTTCTTGGGTCACTTTATGTGCTGGACAATCCAAACGACATCCTTGCCAGAAGAAATAAAATATTTCTTCTATAAAATGTCTCATGCTCTTGCTCTGACTTGCTCAATAGTTGCTAGCTTTGCCAAAACAGACAGAATGGCTTTGTTCGCTCGATGCCACTGCCAAACTACGACCGAAGCTCAATGTCAACATTACTTCTGGTTAAAATAAATGAGTCTGTAAAATTAAAAGATTCATTTAAACCTGAAACTGTAAGGGGTATGAATAGTTTTGTACTTGCTAATTTCAAATTGAAGAATTAAGGCTTTTGCTAAAAACGTTAGTTTAAATAAGACTAACAATGTTGTTGGGCGACTTCATGTGAAAGTCTGCGATAGAAATATTAACAGGATATCCTAAACACAACTGAATAAAACTGTTACGCTGCCATGACATTTCGATTCATGTTAGCGATCAGATAATTGTTTGCTTTAGCATAGAAAGATGGCCAATGCAAACAAGACAATTCTTGTTGCAGATGGCAGGATGTTAACATTGTTTGTTTTGTCTCCTCTATATAACATTCAGTCCCGGGCGTCACTGGTGTCCTGCTGGTCCTTATCCTCCTTCTGATGCTCATATCCTCCTCCTACTGCGTTCGGTATGCTCAACTAAACCATAATTTCTGTAATTATCAGAGATGATTCTTGCGTACCAAAAGAAGAGGAGTGCGAGTTTTTTTTTTTTAAATTCAACATGTAAACAAATTTAATTGTGTCTGCTGGACATGCCGACATGCTAATGGACCCCACTGCCCTGTCATTACTCAGGTCACTGTGGGTCATCCTGTTTGTGTGAGGAGGACACAGTGTGAATGTGTGTTTGTGGAGCTTCCTGCTCATTTCAGTAAGTGCATAGACAATAAGGCACGTTTCCAGACTATGCAAGGCTGAAGATAAGAGTCTGGCAAACTGGTTGGAGTGTTGGATTGATGACTGCTGCAAACATCACAGAGACATCGTGATATCAGCAGACATCCAAACCTTCTCCGTTATTCCCAGTTTTATAGTTTTCATCAAACTAAACTATAAACTAGACTTCTGTACATGTTTGTTTGATGTGCTTAGAAAAGGCCCAGCCAGCCATATGATGGACAACATCATATATTTACTTTAATGCTCCTATTGCTAAAATATATACTTTATTAAACAACTTTATATAGTGAATAATACGTAGTTTCCTAAAAGCATCTAGTCATATTAGACATTTATATGAGCAGCTGAGAGATTGGAGTTGTAATAAGGATTCATTTTTGCATTTTGTAGTATGAAAAACCATGTGTTTATAAATTATATATTATATTAAGATGTTCTTCAGTATAAAATCTCAAGGTTCTGGGTTAAAACTCCCAAGATTTATATTTAGCTTTTAAGTCAGATTCTTTTGAACATTTTTGCTTTAGTCTTTAGACTTCAGGATAATCTCCTTTTGTGAGACAAAACAGTCTGACAAAAAGCACACTTGGGAAAACTTCTAACTTAATTACAGACATCTGTTTGATTTGAAAAAGCTCTTCTTTTCCTGGTGGAAAGCATCACAGTTGATCTGAATCTTTGTAAATGGTTTCAGTAATAGTCAAATTCAACCAGTGCATGTCTTAAAAAAATGAAATATATAGAAGGATTCACTTATTTTATGTAAAATTTTAATATTTTGAGTTAGAACTTGATAATGAGATATTGGTGCCTCTTTGATTCCTGAACAGGGTTAGTTAAATCTGTATTTTTTTAGTACGACACCAATAAATCAGAGAATGCTCAAGTAAAAATTTAGATTTTTGTTGTGACTTTGCTTAATTTTGGCTTTTTCAGGATGTCCAACTATGAGATCTTCTGGTACACACACAACCTCTTCATTATCTTCTACATCATCCTAATGATGCACATGGTCGGGTAAGCAGCACTGAAAGAATGAGAGTTTCTGTTTCTGTTCTCTTATTAGTTGAGATTTTTTTTCCGAAATGTTTTAACAGTTTGTTTTTTTTCTGCTCTAAAAGACAAAAATGTCAACACATATTTTTAGACGACCTGTAACAGCTTAAACCTAACTGTTGTAGTTTTTATCTTTTTTTATTTGAATTCTGCTGTTATTATGTTTTTTTCTGAATAAAATACCTGGAGTTTTCATGTGAAGTCATTTTTGAAGGCCGTTTATTTAACATTTCCATTATATCCAGACTATGCCTTTTGAATTTTGTGCCTTGTCTTCTTCATTCTTTTGATAATTTTTAAACACATTCTAGGAGTCAATATTTGTTTTAATCTTGCAAAAATATCCATACCACCATCACTTTTGAAATTATTCTATATCATCAAGACAAACCTGAAGTATTTACTATAAATATTAATACATAGTATACAGTTATATTCACTTCCACTTTACTCAGACAGTCATAAATAAAAACCTTTGCAGTCACAATGCAGAATAGTTAACTTGTGCTTCATGTAGTCTCATTATAAATCTAGCGGTTCTCTGAAGGCCTTTAGAGGATTGTTAGAGAACAAAAGTGAACAAACAACATCATAAAGATCAAGGAACACAGCAAACAGGTCAGATGTAACGTTTTGGAGAGGTCTAATGGAGAAATAAAACAATATTCTTCTGAATAATCGTTTAATTTATCACTTGAACAGTGAAATGGCACAACTATAAAGACACGTAAAGCAAGACACGGCTGTTCAACAGACAAGCTGGGGAAATATGTCGTATCAGGGAAACACTTAAAATGTGTGAACCACTGATTTAGATAAAGAACATATTCCAGTTTTAGAATGGGCCAGTTAAAGTTCCAACATGTCCAGTAGAGATATATCCCATCATGCAACTTTCACTGAGATGGCTCTACAAATTATACAGGAGGAGACTGAATACAATTTTCATATCATATATTATTTCTCCACTTCATATTTATGTGCTACTTTTTATTGGTCTCTCACAATTGTAGCTATGAATCTTTTAGGAGGGCGCTGTCTGCGTTTTTTCCCTCTGTTATGTCGTGTCTTTTTTTGTCTTCGTGAACCAAATATCACCTGTGCTCTTCTCTGCCTGACACCAGTGGAGTACTGAAGTATCAGACCAACGTCGAGGCCCACCCACCTGGCTGCCTCAGGCCCAATCAGAGCAGCACAGAGCAACATGTCGATGACCTGGAACAGCATGAAGATGATGATAGCAGATGTAAAGAGGAAGCTCATTTTGAACCTCATTACCCCCAGGTCTGTGCGTGTCTGTGTGTAAATACCTTAGAGCTCTGCACGTGTTCTGAGAGTTGGAGGGGGGCAGGGAGGAGCTCTGTGCATCAACGCCTGTTTGTGTGGGTGATTATGTGTTTGCCTGTGTTCGCTAGGCAACGTACTGGTGCCATAAAATCCCCTGTAAAGTTGAATGTACTCCCCTGGCTTTACCTAAGCTGTGAGCAATTACTATGTTAGGTAACTCAACAGAGAAACACTTTGTATGGTACTTAGTTATTTCATGACCACATCCACCTTGTTTGAAACTATAATGTCTACCTGTAACAAAGAGAAACTACTTAAATCAACAGGGACAGAAATAAAGGAAACAAATTGTTGAGGTTTATTAAATATGACGCAAACATAGTCAGGATGAAGGATGCTATGACGATATGCTATGCCTGCCATTTAGTCATTTATGGGTGAAAATATACTATTAGCAAGATTTTGAAGTTTAATTTGAATTTTTGTGGTTAATCTCAAAACTCTTCTCACTTGGCATTTTATGACCAAAACAACTGGGATCCACTTTTTTAAGTTTTTATAAGTTTGGTCTGGGAATAACACTGTCCGGCTCAACTTTTAGTGGTGAGCTAAAACCGAGTGTGTAGGCTGCAGGGAAGATGCTTATCGCTGCTCGCTATTCTAGAAAATAATGTTTAAGAGAATTTAAAATATCCATCTGTTTATTGGGCTTATGTACCATAATAAGTTTGTTGCAGACAGCGAGGTAGAAGAAAATCTAAATTTATGTAATTGGTTCTAAAACATGGTTATAGAAATGAGAAAGAAAATGTTAACTACAAGTTTAGTCTCATTGCTTAATAATGTTGCACTTGCCTGCAGTAAAGGGTCATTATATGTGTGTGTTTTTGTGTATAGACTTGGCTCTGGGTGTCTGGTCCCCTCTGTCTCTACTGCGTTGAACGTTTATACCGCTGCATCCGAAGTAGTGCCCCTGTCACTATAGTGACTGTAATCAAGCATCCTTGTGATGTGATAGAATTGCGCATGCTGAAGAAGGACTTCAAAGCTCGACCGGGACAGGTGAGGCTAGATGTTTGCTTTTATTGCTTCTCAGATCAATTTCCATTTGATTCATTGATTCAAGCTTTTCTCTTAATTGTTACTGTGACGTATCTATTATCTCTGCATCCCTAACTCTTGAACTTACATTTCACCAGCTCCCTCTTTGCTATATCTTTATCCTCATCTTTTTTCCAGTACATTGTTCTTAACTGTCCAAGTGTATCTTCCTTTGAGAACCACCCCTTCACACTGACAAAGGTAAGACCAACTAACCCTGATGCATTCCTCACTCGTGACAGCAGCCCACAGACATGTCTGCATAGATCTTGTTTTCACAAGTACCTAATCTTTCCGTTTCTTCACAAAGATCAGGCATTTTGGTCTCAGCCATCGTCCCGCCCACCTCATCGAGCTGTGACTCTCGATTGGGAGCAGGGTTGCTCAGGAATATTATGTTTCACTCTGCTTGTTGATATTTAAGATTTGCTCTGCATTGCAAGAAAACCATAACATAAGTTCAGGATAAAGACATAGCTTTCTGCATATGCATACACCGATACAAACACACTGGGAGACTGATGGTTTCTGTGTTTACACTCAAAGTGATTAGCAAAAGGATTCTTTTCACCTTTTCACACTGTGCCACTTTATAACCATAAACCTGCATGTATGAGATTTTGATCAAATGGAGGAAATAGACCAGATGGAATACTGTTTAAACCACCATCCCATAATTAAAGTAGTATAGTACAGCTGCAAACCTGCAAAGCAGAGCCAGAGTTCACCTTTCAGTAAGAAACAACACAGGAAGAGCTGCAAAGAAATGGTTTAGATCAAAGTTTTATGTCTTTGAATCAAAGTTTAGATCTTAATCAAATTAAGAATTGGTGACAAAGATTGAAACCTGCTGAGCTGGAATGATTTTGCTCAAAAGATTTGGCAAAGATTTTGATGTTTAGATGTGATGATTGTAACACACCACATAAAATCCCACTAAAACACATAGTAGGTTTTGTAGGTGTTATAAAATAACAAAACGTGGAAAGGCTCGGTGAATATGAATACCTGCATTGGTGAGGCAGGAGGTTAGAGACTCCCTCTGACAGAGAGCAGACAGACCCCTGAGGCTGGTAATGCTGTCTGCCAACAATAGGGCGGCGAGTGCGCGCTCATGTGAATTGTTAAATTTAATGAAAAGAGTTGCTGCTCCGCACTGCATACCTTTTTGTGGACTGTGTGCAGATTTAAATCTCACATGGCAGCTGCATATTATTTTGTGTGTGCTGCCTTGTACTTCACAGTATCTGACAGTGTGTGATTGTCACTGTAACTTCCTCTTTTACTCCTTACAGTGTCCCTCAGTGAACAAGGAAACTTTCGGCATCCATCTGCGAGTCGTGGGAGACTGGACTGGTACTATCTGACAGCAACACACACACATGCACACGCACGCAGACAGGATGGAGCTTAGTTTATGTTACCCCCACTGATTTCCACTTTTCTCTAGGGAGGATGCATTTCTGAGAAATGGCCTTTTATGTGCATGCACATGTTGGAACCTTAGTTTGCCTCAGCAATGTTTTCAAGTAGGTTTTGTTGTCCTGCTAGAAAACTTGATTAGGGGCATAGTCACAAACCCTTACAATTAAATGTTACAGGGATTCGTTTTTTATTCTTGAGTTGAAATTTCAAAATGGGTCACTTGCTCCTGTTCGCAGCCGGGCCTACATCCTTCCAGAAGATAGGAAGGATGTTTTGTTTGTGTTGGCCCCTCAATGTGCCATGACGATGTGCTGTAAAGAAAGTGAAGAGCAATAAATCGGGATGTGTTGAAAACACATTCTCTCCTTTCACCTCCTCAGAGCGCTTCACTCAGCAGCTGCTGCCCCAGTCAAGGATGGACTTGGAGATTCTTCCCATGGTCCAACAGAGAATGTACCCCAAGTAGGTTTCTTTGAGTGTCAGGGGCTGTGAGAATGAAATGTGGTTGGCCAGTTATCCTACTGTTTGTTTGGGTCTAGTTAAAGAGTCAGATGAGAGCTCAGAGGAAACAAATGGGACTTGGGGTCACAGTGATACCCAATCAAAGCTAAGCAACAGCATACAAACTCTTAAATCTTCTCCCAGTATTAAACATAGTGGGAGCTATTTCTTTGTATTTAAAAGAAATTGCAAGCCATGTTTCTGCTGCCTTGGGTTGGTTTGTTATGTAGTATCTGAATGAAACCTAAATAAAAAAATTGTGTTTGTAAAATGTGAAAAAAGTATATGTAGGGTAAATATATGTACCAATATTTCTTGTAGTTTTTTGGGTTTTTTTTACATTCAGGTCCAGCTTTACTCAATTACCAAAAAGCCATTTAATGTTACAGCAAGTATATATAAGAAGTGGGGAAAAATCTATAATGTCAATGTCAATGTCAAATTTATTTATATAGCACTTTAAAACAGGTATAAAACTGCACCAAAGTGCTGCACAAGAACGACAGTAGCACAAATAGATAAAAACAGAATATCAAAAATTGCTTCAGTTAAAAGCCAACGAATTAAAATGAGTTTTGAGAAGCGATTTAAAATGATCCAGGCTGCTAGCAGATCTAATCTGCTAGACGTGTTAAGAAAATAACAAATATAAGAGCATGCTTTTTAATTCCTCTAATACCCTTTTTACATGATCTCATTGGAATATTTTCAACTAAACTATACACAATCCCGACTGGGATTGTCCTGAAAGTGGAAGAGCTGAATGAAGAGATTAACTCATTAACTTTAATATTTCTGTATTTCACTGCACTAATGATCAAAAAATAAGTGTATTGGTTTGTGTGTTGAAATGTATATACAGTAGAAGTGTGTGCGTGCGTGTGTGTGCGTGTGTGTGTGTGTGTGTGCGTGTGTGTGCGTGTGTGTGTGTGTGTGTGTGTGTGTGTGTGTGTGTGTGTGTATGGGGGTGTGTGTGTGTGTGTGTGTGTGTGTGGTGGGGGGCTAACTAGTTAACATATTGGCATATTCATTACATATGCTAATATGTTAACTAGTTAGAAGAGCAAAGAAAAGTGCAACCTATCCTCTTGCTGTAGTTGATCACATAAGACAAAAATCAGCAAAAATTTTATGTTTTGTTTTGAAATATAATTTATTTCCGCATTGAATGATCCATTATTTGTTCTTCAGTCAGTCCAGTCATGACATTTATTGGTATGAACAGCAAATTGACAGCCAAATAGAGACACATAGTGGCACACAATGACTTGATTGTACAAATGATCTAATCGTACATGCCTCTAGAGGTGTTCGTTGCTTACTTTGGGATAGTATGTGCAAGATGTGCAGAGCTTGTAGTCCTTGTCTTTGGTTTGATTTGAGATGTAGGCAATTTGCTGGCCTGCTCTCTCCGTTTGAATTATGCATTTCTGTAAATAAGAGCAATCGACATTGATTACATTGAGTAGTTGCTGCAGTTCTCTTTTTAAGCACACAAGACACAACACACTGTCACTATGAGGTAGGTACAAGTGAAACACTTTAAAGATTCTTTAAAAATGGCACCTTTCAAAGATTATGAAAAAGTGTAGCTTCTTAGAAGGTAAATAAAAAATATTAAAACATTTCCTTTGAATATTTGTGGCTGACTTTGTATGTTCATGTTTAGGCTTTACATTGACGGTCCATTTGGAAGTCCATCTGAGGAGGTCTTCAACTACGATGTCAGCCTTTGTGTTGCTGGTGGAATTGGTGTCACACCATTTGCGTGTGTACTGCATGCTCTGCTGTGAGTTGTTGGGAAAAAAAACTGTTGCAAACATCGAATGTTCGCAATTGTTAATGTGTCCATCTTTCTTGCTGTGGTGGTCTACCCAGTGATGGCTGGAGGGGCTTCAGGTTACAGAGGTTGTACTTTGTGTGGGTCTGCAGAGAGCTTCAGTCGTTCTACTGGTTTGCAGAGCTGCTATGTGCCCTTCATCAAAAGGTCAGGGCCAAGTCTGGATTAATATGATTAATAATAATAAAATATTGTGGTGAGTGTGAATCTCAAGATCTTGTCACAATAAAACCACAATTAATACAACAATATTAAAGCACTGATATTTCTCACGCGGCATGTAATAATGAAAATGTACTTGTGAGTGTTTTGTTTTATTCAGTATTGTCCATGTTTGTTTGTTAACCAGCTTTGGGAAGAGAACAGACCAGACTACTTTAATCTGAAACTGTATGTCAGTCAGGTGAACAACCTTCAGGTAAGCATGACACACTGCTGCACATTTTACTTTTTAGATAATGACGTCATTTAAGTGTTTTTTTTTTGTTGGACACTTTTATTTATTTTGTTATTAAAATGTGCATTTTTGAAATTGTCCACCAGAGGGCAGTGGCGCACAGAGAAACAAGTTGCAGCAAAACTCCAAACTTTTTTCACTCAAACTGAGTTTAATTTAGAGAAACAGCGCCCCCGAATTGCCGCTGATGGCCAAACCGTGCATTACATCCTGTATAGGTTCGATTCCCCGATGGGAAGACTTTGTTTTTCCCCACAATGGCCTGTTTCAATGGTCGAGTGAATTTAAGAGACCCTAACAGTACTAAGCAGATACAAATAGTTACTAAATGAAAGGTTAAGTACTGCTTAGTTTTACTGAGTTATTTTCAACAAAAGCATTATTCCTGGATTATATGTGCAACTTTATGTTTTTTGAAGAGATGCCCAATCAGATAATACTTTTGTTTGCAACATTAAACCGTGTTGACACAGAGCTCTTGACCTGTAACAGGGGGTGTATGTGACCCTTCTCGAGGTCGGGTTGCAAAGTGAAGAAAAAAGGCACTGCAGTGCTGAGGACAAAGACATGTGGCCCATAGCTTTATCTTGTGCAAATGAATTCAAGCTGAGTTACACAGCAGTGGGTTTCGGCTCCTCTAATTGCCCACAGACATACAAAGACTAAGACATACTTCGGCAAAGGTTAGGGTCAATTCGTTAGTGTAATAGAAGCCATCATTTTGACAGATTGATCTTTTTAGAGCTTCACTTCAAAAAGAAACTTTGAAGAATAATTTCTCAAAAAATGGTCCAGGAGTTTGAGCTTTTTAAGACTGCAAATATTTGTGTTTGCTCAATATAAATTATAGGTTCACCAAACAAAAATATAAATGTTAGTGACCACAAGAGGGTGCTGTGATCTTTGGATAACAGTTATAAGTTCTTTAACACAGTGGTGTCCAAACCAATTATACATGCTATCGTTTGTCCAAACAAAGTAGAAAAGAATAACAGGAAGTGTCAAAAACGACAAAATCAGTCATATTACAGTTTTTGAACTGCAATTTGGTGCTGCACAAAATTGTTGGGGCTGCAAATTGGACACCCTTCTGTGATATCTTTAAAATATCTTTGAAAGAATGATACTCCAATAAGACATTTGTCGATACAATCAGGTGGTCACAGGCAAATAAAACTGAGTTAGACAGGTTGGGGTGAAATATATAAATCTAGGATGTGTGGATTACAAACTAAGAGCCACAGTCTCTCCCCAAAGAATTTCATCCACCCATAAACTGACCAGTTTCAGTCTCAATGATCAAAAGCATGTTGGTGCCTTCATAATGTTTTACTGTGTTTAAGGTTAGGTAGAGGGTGTTAGTTTTAGGCCATAAAATAAATGTTTTAAATGTAGATCGTTAAGTTATGAGCTCTATGATCCACATGTTTGTTCCTTGTTTTCTAAATGGATTGTTTTAAACTGTAAGTTTAACTACTTGTAGCTTTCTTTCAGTAATATGAACATTTGTTCAGCACCTTGAGAAGAAAAATCTGCTCAATTTGTCTTGCTTTACGATTTTTTATTTTTTTTTGCAGAGCATTTCTGAGGAGCGATTTCGCCCGCTTTCTTCGAGGATGCTGGTTGGTCGACCCAGGTGGAAGCACCTTCTTGATGAGATTGGAAAAAGCAACAAACAGTGAGTATAGAAGCAACTTTAGCAGAAGAGTTGATTTGTTCTCCTAAAAAGTAACATAATTCAACCTTCAAGCCTTTTTCTTTGGCTACAGCAAGCGAGTTGGGGTTTTCTGTTGTGGACCAAAAGGCATCTCCAGGACTCTCCACAGGCTCTGCAACTCAGCCCGATCACGCGGGACAACATTTGAATTCAACAAGGAGTCATTCAGTTGATGGAACATCTTGACTGGATTTTCATTCAACCTTTAAGCTTTTAATCTGAACTACATTTCTCAATACCTTTGGAATCTGTTCTTGTCAGATGTCATTTGGCATTAAGGAAACGTCTAAAACACTCCCACGATAAAGATCAGCCTGACCTCCAGTTAAACACTTCATTTGTGCCCCAGCTTCAGCATGTGATCGGTTCAATATGAAGCAAAAGCCTCATTCTAAGATTGTCCGCTTTTAATCTGCCGTTTCTCTCAGCCTGGGACACAACGCCCTGTTGGAGTTCTGGTTTCAGCTGCAGCTAAAAAGTAAATTTTTTTTGCAATTAGTCTCTCAAAACATTTGCAATTCATGAAATATATGTAAAATATCAAATTAATTTCCACACTGATATGACTTTTATTTTCAAGAATAATGCAAAGTATGGAATGAGAGATTTTTTTTTAATTTATTGTAGTTTTAATAAATGTATTATCTATTGTTATGTAACCTGAGACCACAGTTTGAGAGAGTTCCTTTTGCAATAACACCTACTGATGACAGTGAATCTGTCATCTTACATGCAAAACCAAATTAAAATGAATTGAGTATGAAACAGACGTGTGTTTGTGAAACTGAGTGACATCAGTTGAAAGAAACTTTAAAATCTCATAAGGCAGATCATTCTGCTACCAGTAAAGGATTTAACAGTACTTAATGAAATTACAGTCAGATTCCTACTTTCAAAAAATCAGACCTTTTTACTATTTCAAATAAGCAATCGTACCTGGAAAAACTTTTTAAATCAACTTTGCTGCATTTTCAACACAAAATTAGAACAATCAAGTCTAATGTTACTACCACTCATTCAGACTCACACAACTGAGTATTAATGTAACACTTTATTTGCTTTTGCAGAATTACACTGGAGTATTTAAGCACCATTGTGAACTCACCAAACATGGGTTAATATTTATTCATGAGATGAGTGCATCTGATGAATGCTCTCATCACTGGAAGGCAACAGTGAGTCTCTGTTTACTTCCACACACTCACTGTCTCTGGAAGGAAATAATTTTGACCAGGAGTAACTGAGTTTCTCTGAGACGCTTCAAGTTCACGAGTTTAACAGCAGTGGAAATTTACAGTATTTAAACTCTGCCTAATTTGGCGAATTTAAGGCTTAACACCCGACATGTTCCATGTAATTAGAATCACTCTTAAAGTGTAGATAAATAAATGTTCTGGAAATCAAACAGTGCTCACATACTTCAGGTGATGTGAAAAACATGTTTTGTTCTTGGTGAGGCTTCACTGGTTGATCTGTAACTGCATCTATTGCCTGATTCATTGTAATTATTTGCTTTGTTTTGCGTCCCATTGGCCTTTTAGAAATGGAAGTACAAGAACATAGTTTGAACATTCATATGCAGCTGTTTCTGCGCTGTCTGTTTTTGTTAAAGAGTGGTTTGATACGACGATGATCCTTCCTCTGAGCTGCTCTGTAGTAGTGGCTGCCTCTCTCCATAACTCGATGTCCTCTTCTTTCTCTGGCTCCTCTTCCACCTCCTCCTTGCGAAGACGATAAGTACGGCAAAGATCGAAGCAATCAAAGCCCCCAGGATCCCGGCCCCAAGCAGCCACTGCCAGATTTCTTTGGCCTGCTGCAGGTAGGGGGTCACAAACTCTTGCACAAACCTCTGGCCTGTGGAGATGGAAAGAGGACAAGATGCAACTAGAGAACAAATAACTACAGGAAAACACATTTACTGAACTTGTTTGAAATTATGTACTGACCTGGATCTAATAGATAAGCATACTCATATCCTAGCACCTTGTTGGACAGGAAGTAGTCTCCGTTTCTGTAGAGTGGAATGAAAGGTATCATGTAGTATCCGTCGTTGTGTCCAATAGGGGCATTTGCTCGAGGGTAGCTGCTCCTGAGAGGCTGGTGGGTCCTAAGCCAGCGCTCAAAGATGCTGTGAAGGATGAAAAGTAAGACACTAAATGAAGAAAATGTGATGGATTGTTTAATTAGGTTATTGTGAGCAATTTTACATCCAGTTTGTATGTAAACACCATGGATTACCTGTCAATGAAAGCGTGGTGCAACAGAAATATGGGGTCATTGGCTGAACCCTGGACATTGGACATGGACCCGTTCATAAAGACATGCAGGGAGTTGTGCATGGTGCTCTGGCCTGGTACTGCTTGGCCAGTCTCTGGGCTGGCAAATCCTGCAGGAGACAACGCAGGTGGAACACAGAGCCAAATATAGCAAAGGTAAATAATGAGAAAATACCAAGCAGTGTAGGCAAGATAGAACAGAATGGGCCACATTGATTCACAGAAAGAAAGATGAGAAAACAAATGAGGAGAGTTTAAATTATATTCGTACATTTTAGGAAAGTAGATTAATTGGTTTTGCATGAAAAAGGTATGCAAAGACACACATTGTAGTGACATAGAGGCTTTTTCTCCTCTACAGCAAACAGTTAACCTGAGTACAGAGTGGGATGTCTGAGTGGCAATGGTGGACTGGGCACACATTCACTAATAGGGTCATTTTTAGCTTGATGCTTTAGCACTTTTGCTATTTTTGATAATGTTCAGGTACTTAGTTTCACCTAAATTATTGCTTTTATTTTTGAGGTGGGTGGAAACCATGTAGTTTTGTTTCCTCTCCTCATGTTCTTTCTTGTTTTCCCCACAATAACTTCATTTAACAAAAAACACACAGGAACAAAATAAAATGCCCAGTGAAGATCAAGATATAAACATAAACACAACGTCTAAGGGAATTTGGAACGTAAATTATAATGTCAAAATCAAATTGATGCTCGATGGTCATACTCTTTCAAAGCCAGATGTCATTTGAATTGGCATAATATTTAAACTTGACCACAGTGCAACAAGACAAAAAAAATGCTTTTCAGTTAAGTATGTATTTTAACATCTGCTTCATATTACACACAGTGTATTTCTTAACATTTTTGTTTTAAGCTGTGCATCCATGTCTACTGGTTTGTTTTTACAGCTCTTTCGCTGTATGAAGACAAATATGTTGTGGTTGAATCTTAGAAACGTGGCTCTGCCTTTTCACAATAAGTAATGTAGCAGGCGTTTAGAGTAGGTGTTTAACTCACAGGAGTACAAGCAACAGTTTTTTTTTGTATGTTTACCCTCCAGGACGTTTCTAAAGCTCATGTTGGCAAAACGGTCCATGTTCCCCGTCTCATACTCAGGTAGGCCTACAGCAAAGTCCACATCGGCTGTTGTAGGAAGCCTCGGCACGCGGTTTCTATCGTGGTTGCCAGGATTACGCAACAGTGGACCCTCTCCAGTGGCGTTGCACAGGACTTCTCGGTTGTTGTACTCCTCGGGCTGCGAGCAGATTACCTTCACCACAAAATACACAAACACAAAGGCTTCTTAAAACAATGTCAATGAAGAGTTTTTAAATCCAAAAATCGGAGTTGTCAGGTTAAGAGTAGCAGCAACAAAGTGTTTATGATTTTATTAATAGCAAAGCAAGCAGAAAGCAAAATTCTTCAAGACAAGAAATGAATGAGGCTTCGATCCAATGTCAGCTGCAGCATCAAATGTTTTGAATTCAGCAGTCCTAGGCTTCACTGAGTAATTGAGCATAAAACTCAATAAACTGTATCATTATCAGTTCTTAAAAACAAAACAAAAACAAATCTGTGTGACATAAAAATGAAAAAGACTTTAAATCTGTAGTTGTTTCAATAGAAATGGAGCCAGAGCTTTTCCTACCTTCCATGAGGAGAAGACAGAAGCAGGGCTGATGAGGTTGGGATTGAGGGAGTTGCGTCCGCCCATGAGGGCGTCGGTGCACACTTCACAGGACTGGGCATTTCTCCAGTCCCAGTATGGGATGGTGAAGTTAAAATCCCCTGTAATTTTCCTTATCTCGTTCTCCCAGTGAAGCAGGAAGACTCTGTGCCAGGGCAGAAACCCTGCAGATTCATGGGCAAAGTCAATGTCTCTCCAGACGTTCCCCGGTCCTCCCAGGAAGGCGTCTCTGGAGACATAATAGTGAATCCAGACAAACAGATCGTAGGTGTTGATGTCAGAGAACATGGGGTTCTCACCATTTTCTCCCATCTCTGCTCTTGTTGCTGTGGAAATGACATAGTCAGAGCTGATGGTGTTTTTAGCCAGGTTGAGGTAAGAGATGAATTTCTGCTGCTCTGCAGTTGACATAGTCATGATGTTCCTGCGCACTGATTCCCTGTATTGAGCACAGTTCCCACCCCAGTACCCAAACCTGCATTCTCCACAGTTAAACCCTCCGTAGTTTCCAGCACAGCGACACGTACGGTTGAAGAAAGCCAAAGGCCAGCGCTCTCTGTCATCAATCCCACTGTGCGGGTACTGTGGCCCGTTGGGCTCATCCGAGACCAGCACCTCGGTGCAAAACCCACGGCCTGACAGAGCTCCGCAAGCCGAGCCGTCTCCTTCCCAAACTGGACAGCATTCTTTAGTTCGAAGCCCCTCGGAGTTGGCACAGGGGCGAGGAAACTGGGACGAACAAACCCCCATCAGGTGAAAAAGAACGACAGACCCAAACAGGTTCTTCATGTTGAAAAGTCACTCCAAACTCCAAACACCGTGGCGACGTTTCACAGAAACAGAACCTGTTCAGAAAATTTTATTTTATTGCAATTAAAAGAATCCCAAGTCAATAGAATACCTCAGCATTAGCAATCAATTGTACAAATGCAGAATATTTTAGAATCATTATATTAATTTTGGATCTGGTAACCTACCATCTAAGCAGCTTCTAAACATTCGTCAACTTTCTCTTTCACACACCCAGGCAGCTCTCCCCCGGTCTCTGCCGACTCAATCAGCCGTTTTGGGGGCCGTCCTCAGAGAAAAGTGCGCAATTTCCTGCATTCACTCACATACAGAATAATATGAGCATCACATGCTCAGGATAATACTCTTGATTCCTTTTTTCACTTTGTCTCGAGACCAGCTGACCTCACCCTTTCCTACCTCAGGCAGAAGAGGGAGGTTTTGTGGTTATGCATGCACAATAGCAGGTCCCATCAGTCACCCTCCAAACTGCAACACTCTGAGGCAGAAATTTACACATGACAAAATCAATGTCTTCCTCTGAAAGTGAGAGGAAAAAAACTGAATAAAGATATGAAAGTGGAAAATTGATGTTTTACACTAATCAGAATTAGAACGCGTGCTGGCTCAAAAATAGTTATGCTATATTTCCAAGAATTGATGCAATTGAACATTTGCAAAGGGAAAACATAATCTCCTGTTTGATCCAAATATTAACATTTTTGTTTTTTAAAACAGTTCTGATTGCAGGCTTTGTGGAATGTTTGTTCTGAAATTTGTAGATGAAACAGTCAAAATGTCTTTTTCATCTCATGCTTTCTCTCCCAAACTCCTCATGAAAAATGCTCAGTTTTCATTCATCTTCATCAAAAGCAAAGAAAGCAACATGAAAATGCAAGGCGAAATTTTAGTGTCATTCAAGTTAGCCTATCACCAACAATCCCTTTCCAAATCAAATCTGTTTAAGTACAACTCCATTTTCCTCTGGATGCTTCATCTTCTGCAGTGATTCGATGAAATAGCATTTCTTGTCGAATAAATGAAGCAAACAGATACCGAGGCTTGATATTCCTCTGCACTGTGACAAATGGTCTTATTGAAAATGACAACAGCAATTCAGACAGACGCGTTACAGAATGTTAATGCCATTGGTATTTTACAGTGAGGGAAATAAA